GCCATTGGTTAGGGGGTGTTGTGTCCCAAACCGTGCCTTGTCCCAAACCATGCTTGGGCATGGTTTGGGACACACGGCGCGTGTCCCAAACCGTGCCTTGGGACTGAGCACAGTTCGGGACACGCGGGGACTGTCCCGAACCGTGCCTGACCGGGCACAGTTCTGGACACGTATTATTAAAGCTTGCGTGCTAGGGGACTGAACATAGTTCTCATAACATGTGTCCCAAGTTCATGTCGACCAAACATAAGACTAAGTTGTGGGAAAACTGTGTTTTGAAAGCACATGCTGTACACAGACTCACAAAATCTCACGTAATCTAGCCATATAAGAAATCGTGGGCGTGAATAATTATGTTTAGGTTCCCGCCAATCATTATGATTGACAGCACCTCCGGGCACGGTTCCGGACAGTCAGGCCGTGTCCCGTTCTGTGCCCGCTCAGGCACGGAACGGGACGGGCACAGTTTGGGACACAACAGGGGGTGTATAAGGTTTTTCAGCAAACTGTAGTGATCAGGGACAAAGCCATTGGTTAGGCTTAGGGGTGTGTATGGGATTCTTCAGCAAACTAAAGTGGTAATCAAAGATACATGTACATTTAAAGCCATGGGATGTATGGGTGGGAATGGGGTTCTTCAGCAAACTGTAGTCACTATCATGGATGGACTTATGATGCTGCTGATAGTATATACTATCATACGAATAACATAATGATATTATACCTACACATACATAATAAACCATGTCTCCCCCCCCCCCCCAGGTACGCTACTGAAGCAGGAGAACATGCACTACAAGGAGGTGAATTACCCAGAAGGCCTTGAGAGGTAGGCTGCTGTTTACTCCTCAATAATGCATGATGGGACATCTGTCCAACCTCACATAAAACATTCATAATGGACTGTACCATTGGGCTGGTGCACGGGGGAGGGGTTTGCCTTTTTAGAAACATTTCTCCTCCTTCCATACCCGTTTTTAACAAAGCTAAGTTATCATGTAGCTAGAAAAGGTCGATCAGCTTGAAAAATTTATGTCCCTTGCAGGGGTCCACACACACTAAAAAAGTCTGTGGATGGCTGGTAAACAGGAAAAACAACATTTTTTTCCTAGGCCATGTAATATTCTGTTATACATAATTGTGACTTGTATCATGACTTTATTGACTGTTCTTGCAGAATGCTGCGAGATGACACAATGCGAGACCTGTACATGTGTGTGACAGGCCTGTACGTGTGTGTGACAGGCCTGTATGTGTGTGTGACAGGCCTGTACATGTGTGTGACAGGCCTGTACGTGTGTGTGACAGGCCTGTACGCATGTGTGACAGGCCTGTACGCGTGTGTGACAGGCCTGTACGTGTGTGACGCGCGGCCTGTACGTGTGTATGACAGTTTTGTGATGTTGTCCTGCAGGATCCTGAGAGATGACACAATGAGAGGCCTGTATGTGTGTGATGAGGAAACAGACCTGGGCACGGCCAGCGGTCCGGCCGACATGTCGGGCAGGCACAGGATTGACTATGTCATGTACCGAGAAGGGTCCCTCTCCAACAACTGTGTGCTGGTGAGTTTTTATAACACTGACAGTAACGCTAAACCCTAAACCCCTCTACTCTCCAACTACTGTGTACAGGCACAGGATTGACCATGTCATGTACCGGGAGGGATCGCTGTCTAATAACTGTGTGCTGGTGAGTTTCTATAAACCTTAAACTGTACCCTTTCTAACAACTGTGTTCTGGTGAGTTTCTATGACACTGACAGTAACGCTAAAACCTAAACCCTGAACTCTCTAAACCCTCTCCAACACTAAAGGCCACAGCAAGTAAATTTAGCAGGCAGACTCAGGATTGGCTACATACATACCGGTACATCATGTACTGGGAGGGGTCACTCTCTAACAACTATGTTGTGGTGAGTTTCTGTAAACCCTAACCAGCTCTCCAACAACTGTGTGCTGGGGAGTTTTCTAACCTAACCCTTAACACTCTCTAACAACTGTAGTAATTAGTTTCTCTTTCAGAAAGACCCAAATAATGCTGATCAGGCCTCACATTTGATTTCTGAGGTTTACACATTGTGTAAATTTTCCAACTTTTCAGTGTTATGAACTCTCTTGTCAGCTGCTTTCTCTGTTCTAAAACTTGGACTTTCTTAATTCCCGTGTTTTCTTTTACATTACTTTTTTTCTTTTCCTCTTAAAAAGTTGACCCATTTTCTCAAAATATCTTGACATCAAACAAAGGAAGGGCACCGTTCCTTTTATCCAATATTCAACAATATTCAACATGGCAGCACTGGGTTCATGTCTGTTGCCATGGCAGCACTGGGTTCATGTCTGTTGCCATGGCAGCACTGGGTTCATGTCTGTTGCCATGGCAGCACTGGGTTCATGTCTGTTGCCATGGCAGCACTGGGTTCATGTCTGTTGCCATGGCAGAGCTGGATTATTGTCTGTTGCCATGGCAGAGCAGGGTTATTGTCTGTTGCCATGGCAGCGCTGGGTTATTGTCTGTTGCCATGGCAGAGCAGGGTTATTGTCTGTTGCCGTAGAAACCGGAGGAGGTGATGTTCACGACGCAGCTGGCGGCGCTGACAGACCACGTCCCCGTGAGCCTGAGGTTCTCGGCGGGACAGAAGACGGCGTAGAGTAGACCCCGCTCCGCTCCGCAGCCGCCATGTGTGAGTGTGCACGCCCGTCCGTCCGTCCGTCTGTCTGTGTGCATGTGTGTCTGTCTGTCTCTCTGTGTACTTCTGTGCTTCTTGGTGTAAGCTGGAACATGGCTGTGGGTTATTTGTTGTGTTCCATCCCCTAGAATTTAAACACACATGAGGTACTTCCATGTTATTGTCATCACTCCTCCTTGATGTATGTACAGTGACTATAGGATAGTTGGAGCCAGGTGAGGCAGTCTGTGTTAGTGTGAACCCACGGCCATGTTCCAGTTTCCGCCACACCCGACCACTCGGCTTGTGTGAACGCACGGCCCTGCTTTGCATGAAGCTTCTCCTTCCTCCGCATCACCACACACCTAAAGCTTACCCAGACTCCTCCCTAACACATGTCTGTTCCCATAGCACCCGGAGGAGGTGTTGTTCATCGCCCAGCTGGCCAGCCTGACCGATCACGTCCCCTTCACCTTCAAGTTCTCCTCACGACTCGACGACTTCCAGGGACTCATCAGCTACGAGTCCGCCCTGTAACCATGGCAACCACGTCTGTTGCCACAACGATGGAGTCTGTCACCACGACAACCACGTCTGTTGCCACGACAACGGAGTCTGTGGCCACGACGACCACATCTGTTACCATGACGACGGAGTCTGTCACCACGACAACCATGACTGTTACCACAGCAACCATGTCTGTAACCATGGAAACCATGTCTGTAACCATGGGAACACACATCACTGGACGCTGTACTGCCACATATAGTAACCATGGCGATAGTATTCTGTCTCCATGGGAACACCGATGAATGGAGTGTTTTTTATGGATCCTTCAGCAGCTTCACTCTGTAGCTGTAGCAGACTGCTGGCCACCAGTAGTGTTGTGTTATTTATTTCTCCTGCTGTTACAGAGATTTTCCTGTGGAAACACTACTGTGTGCTAACTGTGATAACAATCAGAAAGTCTTAAAGTTAGAGGTTTGTAGTTTAACTTATTTGTACTATTTAAGGTGAATAAATTGAATTGAGAAACGTTTGTGCCTAAATTATAAGTCTGACCATCAGTGAATGGGAATCTGCACAGTAACAAATGTTATCTTCACAAATTTTCTGGTACCCTGCAGGCTAAGTGAAACCTAAATAGTTGCAGCTATTCTTGTGGTAAATGCTGGTTTGCACACATAAGCACATTATTTCGATGGTGCCAGGTGAGGTGCCATTGGAAAAGCTCTGTCTGAATTTGATTCCGAATTCTCGCAAAGTTTTTTGAACTTTACAACTCTATGCAAGACTTCTCACCTTTAGCCATGATTATGTATTACTGGTCTTCCCAAGTTGTCCTCAGTTTGTTCTAAGCAAGATGCTGGAAAGTGTAAAGTGCATTCAGTTTTTTTTTTTACTTCCGTATAAGATTAGTGACTTGTAATGTAGGCCAATGCCAATGCAAACATTACTGCTCTGTATGGTTAGCAAACTTCTGTTTGTGAGTGACTTTGTACCGAACTTGGGCCACACCAATATCATGTCTTAGTTCACATCCACACTTTGTTTCTTCCAAAATTGAAAAGGAAAAAAGATCCCTTGTACCATTCAGGACATACTAAGCCCACAATTCACATTGTTGAAAAAAGGAATTATCTATGATTTGTCTATTTCTGTTTCAGTTATGCATAGAAAGTTGAATATCATTGCCTAAAAGGTATCTAGTATTTAGGTCTATGAGGCCACATGTAGATATATGTCATCATACATGCTCTTTTTCTTGCCAATCAACTAAACTTACTAGTATTTTTTTTTAAATACGAGAACCAAGAAATTTACTTGATGTGGCCTGAAGTAAGAAATTGCAGAAGCCAAAGATGCCAAGATATGAGTCATTCTTGGTCAGTTTTAATCTGAGTTGTTTGACAGGACTTCTGTGCCAATGGATTCTCATGTTCAAAATCATATCCAGTTGCTTGAGTAACTGCTTTTTGGCAGATTCTCATGTTGTTTGAATGTGCGAATGCTTCAGACTTAAGTAATGATACACAAATGTATAATAACTTATGATAGATAAGTTCAGAGTGCCGACAATCAACTAATGTATTAGAGATACTCTTTAATTGATAGTGCAATGTTAGAGTTATATCATTACCGCAATATGGTTAAGTGTAAAGTGTTATATATAACTAAGTTATTTATTTGAATGTCAGAGAGACCTATTTTATATCTAACAATAATGGTTACTGTTAAACAGTTGTAGATTATTAATGTTAATTGAGTGATGTAGACGACAGGTAAAATTTATGGAGAAATTTCCTGTAATTCCACTGTTAGACACACTGATGGCAAACACAGACTTCATTTGTAACGGCCCTCAGATCCCCATGCATCAGAACTCACTTTACTTTCAAAAAATAGTTTCATCAGGTTAGTAAAGTATAGGATATGGTAGTTCTTTTACACAACCAAGATAGTTACCTTGCTGACGTTTCGTTGTCTGTCAGACACCTTCCTCAGAACCACCTACATTGGCTATATATAGCGGCGAGAAGCAGAACTCCAGTCAGAAGCTCTGAGGAAGGTGTCTGACAATCATCGAAACGTCAGCAGGGTAACTATCCTGGTTGTGTAAAAGAACTACCATATCTCACTTTACCTTGCATAGAGTGGCCCAACACTACAGCCTGTAACAACGATAATTATTGTTGCCCCATTTTGGTAGCATCACAACACGTGTCATCCACCATTTTGTCAAAATTGTACATTAACAAATTGTACAATAACAGGACTGCTTAAGGACTGTACATTATAATTATATAACAGGACAAATGTCAGGTTTGTGTTGTTAGCGGATTGTTCCTGACATGAGGCGGGTCTGTGTGAGAATGACGTGTACATAACTATGGGCAGGTAGAGCTTCTGTATCATACCTTAACAGATATATTTTGTATGGCACAACAATCATGTAAACAAGTAAACATTCACCAGCTGAACGTTTATGTGATACCACAAACAGGTGAACTTCTATGTGATACCACAAACAAATGTTTATGTGATAAAACAAACGGGTGAAGGTTTATGTGATAACACAGAAGACTCAAAGTTTATGTGATACCACAAACAAATTAACTTCTCTGTGATACCACAAAAGGGGGAATGTTTTAACATGTGAATATTACTTTACGGGTAACTTTAAACACCACCAACACAACTGAACTTAGATACAGCACACACTGTAACACTGTCAAACACCTTTAACCACACATATCAGCTTACCGTCCAGGTTACATAAAGTAGCCGCCAACAATAAACTTGCATGACGCCATGCACCAAACAATCAACAGTTGACTGAGTTTCTTTCTGTGGTCTAACTTGAGGCTGTCGGAATATAACATTAGATCTAATAACTTTATTGCACAACAGGGTACGAAGTATTACTGGTACATAATTTCATAAAACTAGCCTACCTATAACGTTATAGTTAATACAAGAGTGGGTGGCTACTATGGAATGGGAATGAGCTTTTACAATCATTGAAGGAATTTCTGACGTCTAGTCATTCTTTGATATATGTCCCCGTAGTGTTGAATGGATCCCGACTTGATTGATTCTGCAGATAGGGGAGCTATCCTAAGTTAAGACACGCTGCGGTTTACCCCAAAACAGATAGGGGGCGCTGCTGACTCAACACAAGAGAATGACTCGGAAGCCAAAGAGATAACATGCCAGGGGAGTTGGTCTGCTGGGGAGAACATTTTGCCGCTCCCGAACTGTTCTCTCCAGCGGACCAACTCCCTCGGCATGCTATGTTTCTATTTGGCCGACTTCTACTCTTCCGGCCGCCTCCCGAAGTCCGGTAGAGGCTAAAAGACGTACCATTTACAGTGAAAACAGCACATGATAAAGCTCCAGAACCTCTTTAGACGTACACTTTTGAGGCGTAACAAAAGAGAAACGTCAAAATCGAATCGAACACATTGTGACGTTCGAATGTCCGAACAATACGCGTCACAATAGAACGCGTTCAACAACTGCTGCGGTGTTCGAGCAACGGGACCAAAACAAACACGGCGTCGGTGAGGGTGTGTGAGGGGTTTAGGCGTCAGCATGGCGGAAGGTGTGCGGACTGGAGACGAGGAATCCCCCCTGAAGGAGTACTTGGACCAGGCGGAGCGAGAGGTTCGGTATCTATAGTTTATTTTAAGCACCCTTGGGCGTAACGTACCACAGTAAATTTCGTCTCTAACGTTAACCGTTACGGTAAAATCTAAAGCCATGTTCCTACACATCACTAAGGCTACATTTCTGTCAGGATGAGCTCTGCTGGTTCCACATTTAGTTGTTTTATTGTTCAGGGTACGAAAGTATTGTTTTTAGTGGCTGTATGGCTGTGAGTTGTGTGCTTTGTGTCCAGACAGAGTAGGGAAGATTTATAGGTACCGTGTCAGAATCTAAAGACCGGAGGAAATGGAATGAATCGGACTGGAAGCCATAGGAATGTTAACTAGATGCGATGAAATTAAGTCCTCGGTAGTTCCAATAATTATAATAATTGTATTATAAATTTACTAACGCCCAAAATACTGCCCGTATTAAAGTCTGGCTTCTCCGATTTCTTGTTTCCACTGAATATTTTTGCCGTTTTTAGGTTGATCTGAAGCGGAGTAACGAGGAGATCGCACGGGAGAACAGCCGGCTGAAGCTGCAGCTGGAGGTTCTGTACAGCGAGATGCGGGCGGCCAGGGCACAGGCCTCACTGGACAGGGTCCTACGGGAGCAGGAAACAGGTGGGGCGCCCGGGGGTGGGGGATATGGTGCCCGGGGGTGGGGTATGAGCCCGGGGGTGGGGATATGGTGCCCGGGGGTGGGGATATGTGTCCGGGGGTGGGGGATATCTACCCGAGGGATAAGTAAATGTTCATGGCTTTGTTGTGATTTGATCACTGTAAGAAAACGAACCGAGAAGAAACATGATGTCCGTTTGTTACCACTTTACATTTAAGGTTATTCCCCTTGCCCAACAGTTGTGCAGACCCCCACGAGCACCCCTGTCCCCCCAGACCCCGGGGAAGGCACCCCGGGGGGACGAGAGAACTCCCCAGACCCGGGCTCTGCCGAGAAGCCCGCGGACACGAGCGGTAACCTGTCCGCCGCCGAGGAACAACTGGTGGACCGCTGGACGCAGGTGCGTTTCATTTTTTATTACGATCTCCTTAAGTACAGTGGACATGTAACCCTATTCTTCTTGGAGTCCGTAGAGAATCACATCAAATATGGATCATCGAACGGCGGGGGGTACTCTAGCTTAATGGTGTGGTGGGTTCTTTTACGTGAGTCCCTGACCCAGGAGCTTCATCCTATCCGAAGTACGTCCCTCACCGAAGCTACTTTCACCTGACTGAAGTACGGAAAGCCGTGTAAAGTGCCTTTTCAAAGGGCACAAGGTCAGGGCATGTTGGTGGATTTATAAGTTCTGGGACAAACTCCGAACCATTGCACCACACAGGTGTTCGTACAGCGCATGTCTCCAGCCGTAACCAGGGGCAACCGGCGATGCCAGGCGTGCGGGGGCAACATGGCGGATTTCCCGCCGGTAACCAGGGGCAACACTGCGGACTTCCCGCCAGTAACCCGGGGCAACCGGCGTTGCCAGGCGTGCCGCGCGCTGGAGGAGAACCTGTCGGACTCGGTCCTGGCGGCGGCGCCTGAGCGGGGCGCGGGACGGCGGGTGTCCGCCGCCGAGGATCACCTGCTGGACAGGTGGGCCGACAGGCTGGCAGAGAGGCTGCTCAGCTTCAGCCAGCCGCAGGTCACATCCACGCCCCTCAAGGTCAAGCACAAGGTCACCTCCACGCCGATCAAGGTCAGGCACAGGCGAACGGCATCGGACGGAGAAGACTTACAGAGTAAAGGTATTTATTTGTTTGTTTCGCATAACCGGTAGACCGCCTTTAGGCGTAACACACCAGTTTTGTACATGTGCGTACACCAGTTTTGTACAAGCTGCGTAAGACCGGACTGTAAGGTTTTGAACCACTCACACCGGGAAGATCCCCTACTCTTTTCGTATTGAAAGTAGCAGAACACGTCTGTTCTTTTTAAGTTGCTTTTCTGTAGAGTAGGTCTTGTTCAATGTCCTAAGCTCACAAGGAAATTCGAAACTGATGCTAAAGCAACTGGATATGGGTTGGAAAACAGTTGTCAAAATCTATCTAGTTGTTTGAGTAACTGTTTCCTTGGGTAGCTAGCTAATTACATGTAATACTAATAGCATATACAGTACCAGTAATGTATATGGCGTGACTTGAGTGAACGATAGTCTGTTCTAATGTGCCATGTTGGACTCCCAGCATGCCTTGCGGACCGGTACGAGAGGCGATTGGCGGAGTGTTTGGCCGACACGTCCCTTCCCGTGGTGCCCTGCGGGGAGGCGGAACAGGGGTCCCCGTATACCCCTGGTGGAGCCTCAAGCAGAGGTGAGGGGTACTCTGCACTAATACCCAAGCAGATGTCGGGAGGGAATTGTAACTTTTTTTCTAGCATACTGTTTTACTGACCAGAAGTGTTACTTCACTAGCTTTCCTCAGTGACCTAGAGACCAGAGGAGAAATGCTGGTTTATAAACACAAACCTCTGGTCTCTCAGTCACTGACGAAAGGCAGTGGATGCTAGCTGAAACGTCTGACCGTTTCCAAAATCATATACAGTTGCTTGGCGTATCATATTACCTGGATGTCTAATTTTCATCGACGTGATGTTCTCTATACATATTTTGTGTGTAGGCGGGTTTCTTCCATCTCTGACTGCAGGTTTTACCCACTCATGCTACTGTTACTATTAGATCACGACACGGAGTCGCCCTGCCAGATGTGTTGGGAGGCGGCGAACGACAGTCTGGCGGCGGTCCAGGCGCGGATCCGCCGCGACTCAAGCACGGCGCCTAGCGAGTCGGAGCCGGCACTGCAGCGGACAGGTTGGTGCTTTGTGTCAACTCGTCAATGTCCCTATGTTACATTGGAGGAGAACCTTTCTTTCTAATTCTCCGTAAATGTACTGTTCCCTCCCCAACCAAGTTAACATACACAAGAAATTCCTGTTACTATAATGCATTTTAATACAAACAATCGCATCCACACAGACACAGACACACACACGCACAGACACACACACACGCACAGACACACACACACACGCACAGACACACACACACACGCACAGACACACACACACACACACACACACACACGCACAGACATACACACACACACGAACACACGAATCAGGAATTTGCGGGAGACAAACTTGGTACAAGCCCCGGCACCGCGTCAAGGTGTTGCCTCCATTGCCGAGGTAAATTTGGGACGCCATCCTGACAACCACTCATAGTCTTGACATAATGACAACATTTTAAAAAAGTTTCCCTCAGCTCACAGTAGTTTGTAATAGAAATGATGACGAAACCTCAAATTATTTTTTGTGAAAGTGAACAGGCAGAAATGCAGAAGGCATTGTTTTTATTTATGCCCTGTTTTGCTAAGGTTGAAGTTTTCCTCCCTGCCTAATCTAATATTTTCACTTGATTAAGTCCTACTCTGATCGTCTACAGTTTTTTTGTTTGTTATTACATCTAAACTACCTAATTTTAGTCTTATTAAGCCTCATTCTTCCTTAGCTGTTCACAAAAAAACCTTTTAAAACCGAATTCCGAATTATATTTTTTTTTTCAGTGAGCTGAGTTCACTTCACATCAATTCGTGACAAAAAATAAACAGGGACTGTCAGAAGCAATGTCAGGATGAGCGTCGTTTTGCCAATGATATTTGTGCGCCAATTTCCCATGGCTAAAAGGAAGTGCCTGGGACCAAATTTATTTCAGAACGCAGTCCTAGTCCGTCCACCACCCTACCCAAACTACCCCTAATCCGTCCTTGTCAACAAACACAAAGCTATGATAAACAGCTAACATGAACAGTATCATCCAAAGGATTCAATAATGCAAAATCTCATTTCCTGATGGTCCTGATGTTCATCAGTGCTGGATCCTAAAGACTGCGACGATGGTAGCCTCCACCTGTATTTGTACACACAAAAACAAACAAACAAACAAACAGCAAGATACAGAACAATCATGATCTTACTCGGGCGGTCCAAACAAAATAAAGAGTAAGCAACAACAAGACTAACAAAGTTTTCATCTTTGCCATCATGTAAAATAAACACAGCAAGAAACAATTGCCTGGTGTGACAGCCTTTACAAAGACCAAAGAACGAACAAGTAAGGAAGCAAAATGGACGACAGTATGATGAGGATACATCAGCTGCGGCCGGAGTTGTACTTCTGGCCTCCTCCGTGATCGGAGCTGTGGTCGCCAGTTTTACCTCCCAGGCCAGGCCAGTAGCAAATCAGCTCTCATTGGCGAACCGACTGCCTTCCAGTTCACAGCGAAACTGTGTAAAGAAAAAAAAACAAAGAAAAAGACGTGCGTTAATGCTAGACATGATATGCGAAAGTCACATGGATTCACACTTGGAGACCTAAAAGACGAGTATATTCTCCAAGCCTCTATCACATAGGAACTACATGTATCCCCCTGTTCTTCCATTAATTCCATGAGGTAGACCAGGGTGACTGGTCGAAAGCTCTAGGTGAGAGAATTTTTTTGTCTTGGACTAAAAGTTTTAACTCTAAACATAAATAGTAAATGGTACTCAGTATATATAAATACAGTCAGTGCCGTTGTCAGCCAGGAGGCAGTCTTCTTCCTTCAACCAGCCAGTCTTTATCCAGACGTCTTTGCGTTGTAGACACCAAACTTCCAGTCCATGGCGGGCCTGTGTTGTAAGAAAAGGCAAGAGGGAAGAAGATACACGTTAATGGCAAGATATAATATGCGAAGTCGCCTTGATACATCCTGTACTAAACAGACTAGCAGATATCTTTCCCTACCCTGTACTGGGAAGGTGAACTGGTACATTTACTTTACACTAGAAGCACCACTAATTCCCTCATTCAATCGTTCATTCGTTAATTCTTTCGTCTTTTATCCAGTCTAGTCTTTAGAGCAGCGGGAGCCAGTAAACAACTTCCTTCAACCGGCCAGTCTTTCGGGAGGCGTTTTCGCGTTGTAGAAACCTCCAATTCAGTCTCTTAGTACATGGTGTGACTGTAGTGTTGGAAGATAAAAAGAGAAATACGCATGTTAATAATAAGAAGTGTACGATGCAAATACTGACTGACTGACTGACTGACTGACTCACTCACTCCCTCCCTTATTCACTCACTCATTCACTCACTCATTCACTCCCTTATTCACTCACTCATTCACTCCCTTATTCACTCACTCATTCACTCCCTTATTCACTCACTCATTCACTCCCTTATTCACTCACTCACTCACTCACTCACTCACTCACTCACTCACTCACTCACTCACTCACTCACTCACTCACTCACTCACTCACTCACTCACTCGTCCATTCATTCTGGGATGCCATACGCCCTCAACCCGACGGTGGATCTCAACTTCATCTAGGAAATTGGGTTGATTCTGAAACAGAGAAACAAGAATGGCATGAATAACAAACCGGTTTAAAACAAGCTTCACAATCTCCGCTTTGAGACCTCAGGTCTTTGCGAAGTGATTTACCAGTGGTTGGTGTGCGAAGAAAACGACAGCATTGCAATTTTGTTTTTGCTAGGCTCTTAGCCTAACACTTTATTCAAAGTACACAGTAATACATTTTTCAACATTTGCACATGTCAGACACATTCCATGCGTTTTAAAACTTACTAACTTTCTTACCTAGCTACAATATGCGTGCTAGTGAATGCGGACAGTGGAAAGATGTAGTGATGGTGGGGAGGGGGGCGCTATGGAAAAGAAAACAACTTACACCCATAAGGCACCCGGGGGTTCGGTACGAGCCTAACGGACCTTACATCATTATTTACAAACTACTGCTTAACATTTACCAGTACCCCAGAGCTACCATCCCTTCCCAGATGGGGCAAACAAAAAGCAAAACCATGAGTTGGGCCTAAACCCCAGAAAACTAAGCAAGCGGGTCAGACCCCCCTTTTTAGACATGGGAAAGAAAGGCATGTTAGAAATCAAATTCTAAATAAATACCTACTCTTATAAAAATCCAACCAATTCCTAAAGAGCACGTCTTTGGAATTCTTTGGATTTTAGTGGTGTCAATTCACGTGGGTTCTAACTTCTAACATACATATACAGAGTTCTATCGTTTTTGTGTACGTGCGTGCGAGTGTTTGCGAAAGAAGGACACCGTGGTTGTAGTGTAACATTTTTTGTGTGTTATAAAATATCTAAATCAAATCGCGCTGCATGTGGGCATCATGTTTTTGAACCTCCAGGCTTTTCGCGAGTTACTTTCTATACAGCGGGTTAAAACTATACGACGTTTACATCTATACCACGCACGTTTTACAGCTATAACAGCGTCGCGAGATGCCCCTTTTCGTCGCTAAGCCAGTGAACTGACTTCCCAACGGAAAGATAATTTGATGTGAACCTTTCAGTGAAAGATTCACATCCGCGCAGTGAAAGCAATATACAAGAATGAATCACAACAATACAGGCATAATACAATATACAAAGCAACCACGTGAAATGCCACCACTAATTCTACCCAAGATGTCATGGAATTTTAACACAGTTCCATGAAAATTGGTTAACTGTTACACAGTAAGCAAGGAATTTCGTGTACCATTCACAAAATTCCTTACATGTTCACCCATCCAATTCCCCAGACATGGCATAAAATGTTCATACACAAGAAACAAGGTTTGCCGCGTCGCAAGGTCTAGCGCCACGTGCTCCATGTGCATTTCGAATCAAAATGTTACAACGTGTGCGTACGAATTACAAGTCTAAAACTGACGAATTGCAAGAATAAACCGCGCGAATTACAGGTTTCAAAACGCACGAATTACAAGTTTCAGACGCACGAATTACAAATATATACGAAATGCACGAGTTAAGATTATACAACGCACGTTGTTGAGCCAATTTCTTGCCTTCCAAACCATAAAAAGTCATTGCGCCGCGCAGGGAAACAAGAGGAACGGTACTCACCCCAGCCACGTCGCAGTCCTATATGCGTGAACTGACTCACACAACGTACAGCCTGACTTCGGACTGTTACATTCGTTTCTATGGGTAAATTCTTACGTAAACCAAAACAGAAAATTCGTTTAACTCTGCAAACGACGACACAATCACTGTTAGTGTCGCCTTCCTGATACGTGTTTCCTTTGCAAGACATATAAAACATCTTTTGGACAAACGCACATTTGTTTCTTTGGTAAATAAGAAGTATTGATAAAAGCTAACCCCACCGATTTGGGAAGAGACAGTGGTTCCATCCAGCATCGTTGCACCTGGGCTATGCTAATCATTAGGAACCAGCCACCAGGTGTAGTCAACGTGGTTTGACCAACCACAGGCCGAGGGAATGATTGGATCAATGCAATCTTTATTCTCAAGTCGTTCAGAAGTCCAATCCAAAGACCGTTCAGTTTACCAATTGAGCGCTTGAGTTTATTTTGCTTTCAGAGTTCCAAGAAAAAGTGTGAAACATTTTATAGAAAACAACATAGGGAGACACAAGGAATGCCAGTAAACAGCAGTACTTACTAGTATACACACACACCCATCCCGCACTGGTCACAGTAAACCCACCCGTTGAAAATGATATGATAATCATGTAGCGCGGATCATGTACGTCTAACCCCAGACCGTACCTGGGCATGGCTCTGGATAATCTACAGTTTTAGATACGTGCATCAGGCTCGTAGTTTCTATTTTCCCAGCAATAGCATGGCAAGCTCTCACCACAGAGTGGACATACGCACAGCGGCGACTCCTGGCGGATTCCGTGAGCGGTACAGCCATCGTAGTCTCCACCAGACTTCTTTTGTGGTCTGCTGGCAAATGGAGCTTCTCTGGCCGGTTACCTTCTCTTGCCAATTAATACCCTTTTAGACCGATTTCTAAGACTTATTCAGCCCGCAAAAGAAGTCTGGTGGAGACTACAACCACCGTGTTTGGGGTGGCCAGAGGGGATGTGCCGGGGTACTGTGTGTAGTCTGTGTGAATGGGGGTTCGGGCGACTGGCGGGTAGATAGACAGTTGAGATACAAGCTTCACAATTTCTCTGTTCCCCATGGCCCAGCAGGTGGCACACGTGCATTCGCGACGCCTGGCGAATCCCGCGGGCGTTGCAGCCACAGCGCCAGGGCCTGCAGGCCGGGTTGTGCCGGGTGCCTGCGGGTGGTGGGAGAGCTGGCCTTCCAGCTGGACATGCAGATCCTGCAGTACGTGTTGTGATGCACCAGTTTTATGTTCCCTGTACAGCGGTGACGCCTGGCGGATCCCGCGGGCGGTGCAGCCACAGCGCGCGGAGCGGCAGGCCGGGCTGTACCGGGTGCCTGCGGGTGGTGGGCGAGCTCGCCTTCCAGCTGGACATGCAGATCCTGCAGTACGTGTTCCAGCGCAGGCGGCTGTACGGCTTCACGCTCAGGAACATCGAGGACAAGATACGCGAGGCGGCAGACAAGGAGGTGCGGACATCTTTAGACCTGTCTTCTGTTTTTTCTTGGCTTGTTTTAGAAAGCTAAAATTTTACGAAAGTTGTCCATGGTGCCAGGAGTCTGATGACCGAGAAGGCCCTACTGCAGGCCCTACACTTCAGTGTTTGGAGTTCCAGCTTCTTTGTCTTAAAGGCAATGCCAAAAAAACAATAGAAATTCGACCATTGACTACAAAAGTATAATTTAATCCCGCGCTTCATAGTCTTTGTAAGGTAAATTAACCCCATAGTTGCAGTAAAGTTAATTTCTCACATAAACAACGTTGTTAGGTGTTGGTATGGGCACGCCACAAAGTTGAAGAGTAGCTCATCTGGACGTTCATTGAGCTTAACTGGTTCGAGATCAGTTTCACTTCTCACTTTCGCCTCTTCCCGCCCTACAGAAGACGCCAATGGAGGCGCGAGTGCGGACAACTGTGTTGGAGACGCGGCTGCGGCACGTGCTGGGGCTGGTGGAGCCGGCAGGGTACGACTGGGCAGTCCACCCCCGGCTGGCTGAGGAACTCGTCAACCAGTGCGGGGTCGTCAAGGGGCGGCTGGACAACCGGTAAGGCTCGTCAGGGGGCGGCTGGGCAACCGGTAAGGGTCATAAAGGGTCGGCTGGACAACCGGTAAGGCTCGTCAGGGGGCGGCTGGGCAACCGGTAAGGCTCATAAAGGGTCGGCTGGACAACCAATAAAACTTAAAGTACAAGTCGACTAGAGATATGGAATCTTTTTGTAGTAACTTGTGAGATGTAAAGCCCATGGGGGCACCACTACAATGGTATACAGATTCCTCCAGATAGCATTTCTCTAATCATGCCCGTGTTTTTCTGCAGTACACTGGAGTCGCTGGGCTACACGGACCCCTGCCAGCTCCACCACATGGTATCGTCCATCCTGCCCCCCAGCAGAGTCCGCGGGGTCATCGTCCTGCTGGACAGTCTTCGCGCCCTCACAGCCAATCAGGGCAAACCTCTCTTCTCGTTCTGACATACGTAAATACGTACATCTGATTTATAATTATTTACACAGTTTTGGGGTGTGCGCAGAGGAAATAACGCTCAAAATCAAGTCAATGTGGTGATAGTCAACGATAGACGGAAAGGCAAGACATTGTAAAGTTGTTTTTTAAACTTTTGAGTCTTCGCGTTTGCTTACCCAGAAAGAAGTACAGAAACAGCTTTAAATTTCACAGGTTTATTGTATTCAGTCCGACACCATCTTTTATACATGGCCCACAGAAGTTAGCTGAAATGCTAGCCGAAAGCATTATTAACATGATGTCATTTTACTGTGCCATTATTGTATCTGCCACTCATACCACGATCTAAACATAGTTTACATCAATTCAGCCTCAGAATGTCAAAACGTTCCCATCCTTTGTGACTGACAAGTTTACCTGACAGCAAAATAAAGAAATAAAGCAGATTGCAGAAGACATCTATACAATGTAATCGGTAATGTCGGTAATGTTATAGATGACAATTTGATAATACACATCACATTGTTCTATGGGAATGTACTCACTAGTCAGTCATTTACAATATTGAATTATAAAAATATTATTTGTCACATTGTCATCAGTCTGTTGTACTTATTGTTTTGCTCTAGTCCACAGAAAATGTTTCTAAAGAAGCAGTTTGGTAAAATACAAAGCATTATGAGAAATTTGGTAAATTTTACAATCAGCTTACTGTACTGCTATTTATCTGTATTGTTATCTACCTGCATTGTAGAGAGTAGCTTTGCACCAAAGATTATACCAGTATCCAAAGATTATATCAGTATCCATGCCACAATTAGCAGAAAGAAGACCTGTTACTTAGGTCTTAACAAAGATTGGAAACAAAGTCCTAGAAACTAAACATGAACATATCAGTATTACACAATTTTCTATGCTATATGTCAAACGTAGCTGGTAACCACCAGTACATTTAGTTAGTTAAGTTTGGTTATCAATTGAGGAACAATTGGGCTGTAGCCTTTATCTTGATAAATTAGTATTCTTCAATCTTATTCAAACATACACAGCTGAGGCTAGGCCACTGTTATCCGTATAACACGGCTGCCACCAAGCCGCACAGAGCTAAAATGTAGCTTGGTATTCTTGCACCCGAGCAAAGTTCCAATAGGAACATCTCACACCACCATCTCTGCCAGATGCGGGGCGACCTCCTCCAGGGCTTCCCTGAGCACCTGACGTGCAGCCGCGCCCTTCCGCCGAACGATGTCCAGCAGCTCCCTTGCCTTGTCACGAGCTGTTCTCTTGGCCCTGATGATGCCGCACTCCTCTTCACTGATGTGGCCACGCGACAGGAGATGGTTCAGGATTGTCTCCATGGCGTAGGATGACGTCAGGTCCCGGACCAGCTCTGGCCGGTTCCTGATGAGCGGGTCGTCTTCTTCACACAGCAGAGCACCGGCGCCATCTTGGATCATCGCAGCAGCATGCGGGTTTACCTCTTCCAGGACTGCCGTGAACTCGCGACGTGCACGCTCGCCCTTTCTTCCCACAATGTCCAACAGTTCCCTCGCCTTGTCCTGGGGGGTTTCCTTCGCCCTGATGCGGTCGCGTTCGTCGTCACCGAGACTGCCACGTGACAGGAGACGGTCCAGGATTGGCTCCACGTGTCGCAAGGCCTGGACCAGCTCTGGGCGGTTCCTGGTGAGCGGATCCTCATGCTCTCTACACAGCAGGTCACTGACCTGTTCCGTGAACCCAAGGGTGGGATGGACGATTGTACCGCCCTCTGCTGCTGCCTTGCTGATCTCCTCCTTGCCATAGGAGTAGAATTCCTCCATGTGTTCCTTCAGTGCACGAGCGCTGAGCACCTTCTCTTCTGTGCCTGTTCCTGGGCTGCACTCATCCAGCACATCAGCGATGGTGTTCTCCAGCTGCTGCAGCATCTTGCCGCACTGCACCTTGTCACCCTGCGCACTCCGGACACAGATGTTGACTGCACGGCCGTCCGGAGAGAGTTTGATCAGACCTTCCACAGTCCTGTCTACACACTTGGCGCCATCTCTCCACAGCAGCGGGCGATTCTCCTGCTCCCTCATCAGGCGGGTCTGCACTCGGGGGAAGAACCCGGAGGAGAACATGTCAGTTGAGTCGGCACACTGGACTTGCTTCCCAAAGTAGACAATCTTTGGCTCAGGTGTTGGTTTCCAAACCTGACCAGGCATGGTTTGCGTCAGTAGCCCTGGGAAGATGAAGGTCTGTCCGTCATAGGAGTGGCAGAGCTGGAACTCTTGCAGCAGGCTGACGAGGAGATCCACGTCAGCAACGTCTTGGAAGACGCGCTGGATCTCCTCCCTGGTGACGTAGTCTTCGCTTGTTCTCTCTGGGCGGAGGATGGGAAAGTTGACTGGCGCCATCATTGGGCCGAAGACGTCTGTGCAGAGCCAGTTGGGCTTCAGGACAATGATGGGGTCAGAAGAACTCGGACAGGTGAAGATGATCTTTAAAACAAAAGATTATTCATTTATTTATCAAGTAAATTCCGTTAGTTGTAGGCTAGTAGGTCAAAGCAAATTAAAACCCAGATTCATAGTGTAACGATTTAATTGAAGACTTTATTTTATAGTATTTTATACTGTGCACAAAAACTACAGGATCTGCTTTTTAATTTTTTTTTATATTCAGAAGTTTTTTCCTACCTCCCCCAGATGGCCCAAAAATCGTGTAGACTTCCGCAGGAAGTCTTCATCTACATGTGGGTCGATCTCTTTGACTGCGTCCACGTAGTCTGGCCACCTCAGTACGGGACACTTCGGGCTGCACTTCGTCTGGCACCAGCTGGGCAGCCGTTGGGTGATTTCTGAACACAGTCTGGGCATCTGGCGTTGGTGCTGTGCAAGGTGTAAATTGCAATCCATGACTGGTCATTTATTGCAAATGTTGTCAATGCTTTGTCTCGTATCACCCGCTAAACTATCATAACACACTTACCTCTAACATGTCCTTCTTCATCTTAGCCAGCAGCTCCTTGAGTCGGTCCATCTCAGGTGTTCGCGTCTTCTTGCAGTTCATCAGGAAGACTTCGTCTGAGATACGGAGGAGATCTTTGAACTCCGCTTTCATCAACTGCAGGAGATGAGCAGCTTGGCGCTGTCCTGAACGTTATGAGCAAAGCGAAACGTAAATGAGTCTTTTAGTCTACAAATACCATTATGCTAAATATTTTACAGGTTTGTGCATTTAGCACACTACATACATAGCACTGCATAATGTATTAGTAAAGTATACACATTGCTTTGCTTATAACATGAAGTTGGATATGTAGTCTTGGATACTCTACTTACCACTTGTGGGTGACACTTTGTCGGCATGGCTGGCCACTAAGATGACGTCACGCTGCCGGTTTGGGTTGCAGGACTTGATGAAACTCAGCCACCGGTGGACCTGGAGCCGAACATTCAACAACTGATGTACATGCTTGTATAGACCTTTTCTGGGCAACATGAGAACATTTCGATAAAATGGACCTGGAGCCAAATATTTGACAAATTTACATGGTTGCCTGACCTGCTTTATTTCACTTTTTATTTTATTTATTTATTTTTGACCTGTTCTGGACAAGTGATATGAGAACATTAAAAAATATTCCATTAAAAATAGGCCTTGTAGGTCAACATCAACTGCGTATTATATCGTACAATGAACAATTGTTTATGTTAATTCATGCAGATTTAAAAAAAATCAGTTTAATGCTCAAGTGCTGTTTACGTCTTGTTCTTTGGTGTCGTCCATGATGTTGTACAGCACAATGGAGATGGTGTTCTCTGCATCCATGAACATGCTGTGGGTTACCGCGTACTCCGACTGCCCAGCAAAATCCCACAGACTGACCTCCCCAACCCCTGGAATATGGAACGTCCCAACATCCACCCCTGGGGTGGGGTCGTGAAGCTCCTCGGCTGACGACGTGTAAATCCAACCTTGGAGATGTGCAGACACCCAGCCCTGTTGGACAGCATTAGGTTTGATTTATTAGATTTTGACATAATAAACTTTGCATCCTATTAGCCTGAGAAATCTAGTATCTATTCAATTTATTTGTCTCTTGAAACGAGTTTGGTAGGATTTATGGAACAAGCGTCTTACTTACCCTTTGAAGACTTTCTACAAGTGTGGACTTTCCCGCTTTCCCCATCCCAAACAAGGACACCTTACACCTGTCGGTCTTCACTCCACCAGACTTCTGCAGCAACTCGCTGTACAACTTCTCTTTGATCACTTCCTTTTCTCGATTCTGGTGGGAGATAGAAAAACCAAACGCAGAGTAAGCATCAAAATCGGTGATATTGATAAACAGGTTTGAGCAATAATACGGAAATATTTTCAACATAGTCCTAATTATAACTATTCATCAGTTTTCTTTTCTAGCACCAGCAGTTACATTGTGATTAACCCGAAACATAGAGAAGTAAAGACACTCATCCTGTCACAGATCACAGATCAATGAGAATATTGTTCACCTTCAGAACACGAAGAGTCTCCTGGTCCTCTGCTACCTCAGAAGGTGTCCGTCCGTCCTGTACAGGGAGACATCAGAAATGTGTTACTCTCCGTGTGGAACCTAGCAATGTCTAACGATGACACCAAAACTATCATAGCTTTATCAAATATCGGTACGAATTGTGAACGGCTGATATTGTAAGTTAAGACTCTCCCCGACCTGAACTCTGGGCAAACAATAAGCAGGGGGATACGGTTTGATCGGCAGTAGTACTGGTATGTTAGTCATGTTTGAGGTGGGGGTCCGTTACTGGAGCATTCCATCTTCCATAACTGATCATCACCACATACAAGCATCCCTCCTGAGCACTCAATGTACCACCTTGTGTTGCATCCGAGAAAACCGGCGAGAGATGAGATCTTAAATCAATTTTTAAAGATGTGGTGTGCGTCTGTATATATGTATATATAGTCCTCATAAACGTCATTCGGCTATCTCACTCTAATGTCTTGTGGCATCCAAACCAATCCAGTACAGTACAGTACAGTAATATATGCATGGCAATTGTCTCACAAAGCTGTTCGAATGAAGCTTGTATTTATCAACTCTTGTACTGCCGTGGGGCGTGTTATGTACCTGTATCTGTATCGGTATAACCGGCATAACCGCTCTTCAGCACTTAACACACCAACTTCGTGTTCATGTCTGTTTCCTAACATGTGCACAAAGCTTTTGATGCACAAGCATGTTTTTTAAAATTCACATGGACAAAAGTGTGTACGTATTAGTAAATATATTATTTTCAACGTCATAAACATCCATATAATATGTAGGGTACATTTGAAACAAGTGTGTATTACCTTATCCCTGGCCGTCACGTCTGCCCCATGACGAATCAGAAGATCACAAGTCCCGGTGTGGCCCTCGCGAGCAGCCAGATGCAAAGGTGTGCGCTGGGCCTGTACAGGGGGGAAGGTCAGGGTCAGTAGGGATGGGTTCAACACGGACAGCAGTTATCACGTAAGAAGCAGTGTAAGTTGAAGTTGTGTACGTCGACAAAATTTCCTGAAACTTGAACCTCCTTCCATGTATGCTCCATACCTAATCAGGTATAACGTTACTGCACATTATATTGATCGTATGCCACAAATATATGCTAGTTGTTGTGTTGTTAACGTCAAAGTATTAATAGTCAAAATATTACTTGTCAAAGTATTAATGTTGTACTAAATAAATCTGTTTGTATTATTGTCTCTATCTCTGTTTCATATCTATGTAATCCGTAGGATCCCGTTGAAACAAGTGTGTATTACCTTATCCCCGGTCGTCACGTCTGCCCCATGACGAATCAGAAGCTCACAAGTCCCGGGGTGGCCACAGAGAGCAGCCCAATGCAAAGGTGTGAGCTGGAACTGTACAGGGGGGAAGGTCAGGGTCAGTAGGGATGGGTTCAACACGGACAGCAGTTATCACGTGGGTAAGCTACAGTATGGGCTACATGTTAAGTTGTGTTAAGGAGGTTATAACCTGCTTGGTTGTGTACACCAACAAAAGTTCCTGAAACTCCTGTTATGGATCTCTCATACCTGATCTGATCAGGTATACTGTATGTTGTATTGACTTTATGCCACATTTATGCCTGTTTTCTGTATTATCTCCTTAGATATGTTTATATACCGTACGTCCGTACCTAATGAGTACCTATTATAAATCAGCTGATGTTTGTATAATTGTCTCTGTACCACATCCATGTAATCTGTAGGGTCCATTTAAAACAAGCGTGTATTACCTCATTCCTGGCCGTCACGTCTGCCCCATGACGAATCAGAAGCTCACAAGTCCCGGTGCGGCCCCCCTCAGAAGCCTGATGCAAAGGTGTCCACTGGGCCTGTACAGGGGGGAGGTCAGGGTCAGTAGGGATGGGTTCAACACGGACAACAGTTATCACGTGGGTAAGAAGCAGTATGGGCTGCATGTTAAGTTAAGTTGTGTATATCAACAAAAGTTCCTGAACCCCCTGCCATGCATCCGTCATACCTGATCAGGTACACTGTATATTATATTGATCGTTATGCCACATTCATGCCTGTTTCCTGTATTATCACATTGGTCTTTGTCTATTTATGTTGTACCTAATGAGTACCTAATCAGCTAATGTCACGTGTATTATTGTCTGTACCTCTGTTCCATATCCACGTAATCTGTAGGGTCCATTTAAAACAAGTGTGCATTACCCGACTCCTGGCCGTCACGTCTGCCCCATGACGGATCAGAAGCTCACAAGTCCCGGGGTGGCCCCCAGCAGTAGCCCAATGCAGAGGTGTGTGCTGGTCCTGTACAGGGGGGAAGGTCAGGGTCAGTAGGGATGGGTTCAACACGGACAACAGTTATCACGTGGGTAAGAAGCATTATGAGTTATATGTAAAGTTGTGTATATCAACAAAAGTTCCTAGCCTGAAACCCCTGCTATGGATCCGTCATACCTGTACCTGATCAGGTATACTGTATATTATATTGATCTTACGCCACATTCAGCCTGCTTTCTGTATTATAACCTTAGTATTTGTCTATTTATGTTGTGCGTCTGAATGAGTACCTAATCAGCTAATGTTTACATTACTATTGTCTCTTTCTCTGTACCACATCCATGTAATCTGTAGGGTCCATTTGAAACAAGTGTGTATTACCTTATTCCTGGCCGTCACGTCTGCCCCATGACGAATCAGAAGCTCACAAGTCCCGGTGTGGCCCTCGCGAGCAGCCAGATGCAAAGGTGTGCGCTGGTCCTGTACAGGGGGGAAGGTCAGGGTCAGTAGGGATGGGTTCAACACTGACAGCAGTTATCACGTGGATAAGGAGCATTAGAAGTTGAAGTTGTGTACATCGACAAATGTTCATGAGACTTGAAAGTTGAAACTCCTTCAATTGGATCCGCCATACCTAATTGGTGAAACTTTCAAGTAAAAAAAATCAGGTATATTGCACATTGTATTGATTGTATTGAGTTGCTCTTCTTGTCAATGTAAATTTCAATTGTTGAAAACATTAACATATATATGTACATTTCCCCTTAATAGGATGTGTTTGATATTTTATACAAGAGTGTATTACCACATTCCTGGCCGTCACGTCTGCCCCATGACGAATCAGAAGCTCACAAGTCCCGGTGCGGCCCCACTCAGCAGCCAGATGCAAGGGTGTTTCCTGGACCTGTACAGGGGGGAAGGTCAGGGTCAGTAGGGATGGGCTCAACACGGACAACAGTTATCACGTGGGTAAGAAGCATTAGAAGTTGAAGTTGTGTACGTCGACAAATGTTCCTGAAACTTAAACCTCCTTTCATGGATCCGGGTATACTGCACATTGTATTGATCTTATGCCACACAAATAGGCTATCCATATAATCTTTAGGGTTCTGTTGATACAAGTGTGTGTATTACCCCATCCCTGGTCCATGACAAATTAGAAGCTCACAAGTAGCTAATTTGTTGCATAAGAGTTGAGTTGCTCTTCTTGTCAATGTAAATTTCAATTGTTGAAAACATTAACATATATATGTACATTTCCCCTTAATAGGATGTGTTTGATATTTTATACAAGTGTGTATTACCCCATTCCCGGCCGTCACGTCTGCCCCATGACGAATCAGAAGCTCACAAGTCCCGGTGTGGCCACAGCGAGCAGCCTCATGCAAAGGTGTGAGCTGGGCCTGTACAGGGGGGAAGGTCAGGGTCAGTAGGGATGGGTTCAACACGGACAGCAGTTATCACGTGGGTAAGCTACAGTATGGGCTACATGTAAAGTTGTGTTAAGGAGGTTATAACCTGCTTGGTTGTGTACACCAACAAAAGTTCCTGAAACTCCTGTTATGGATCTCTCATACCTGATCATGATCTGATCAGGTATACTGTATGTTGTATTGATTTTATGCCACATTTATGCCTGTTTTCTGTATTATCTCCTTAGATATGTCTATTTATACCGTACGTCCGCACCTACTGATTACCTATTATAAATCAGCTAATGTTTGTATAATTGTCTCTGTTCCACATCCATGTAATCTGTAGGGTCCATTTGAGCCAAGTGTGTATTACCGAATCCCCGGCCGTCACGTCTGCCCCATGCCGGATCAGAAGCTCACAAGTCCCGGTGCGGCCCCGGACAGCAGCCTGATGCAAAGGTGTGCGCTGCTTCTGTACAGGGGGGAGGTCAGGGTCAGTAGGGATGGGGTCAACACGGACAACAGTTATCATGTGGGTAAGAATCAATATGAGATGAAGTTCCGTCGATCACCAGCAATTTCTCGGATCTCCAGCTACGATCCTGCTATAGCCTGACAGGTGCAAACTTTCATTTTATTTTATTCAGTGAAGAAAACAGGAGGGATGTGTGACACTGTACTGAAATTAAATCACTACTTACGTTACATCTCTAGAAAGAAACGAGTGAAGTAGAAAAAAAAAGGAACACACCTAAGCACATGTCGGGTATAAACTAGATTGATGTTGATTGAATCCAAGTAACGTAGGATAAATCAAGGTAACGAATGTAAAGTGGAAGTGATCCACACTATAGATAAATACAGTACTACCACCTCACATGTGTAACAGAAGAATGGATAGTCGGCTGAAATCTCTCCGTGCCTCTTGATTCAAAAGCTCTGAATCAGAAGCTAGTCGAACTAAATCGCACCCCTAGCGGCCCACCCGAGTGACCGGCTCCCGTCCCTGGCGTCAAGAAAATGTGGACAGGCTGAGTCAGAAGAATAATTTTGAAATCCAGTTTCAAATCATTGTTTAGTCCTGTGTCCTTATACGATCTTCCAAATAGCGTTTTCCTCTCAGCTATTTCTGTAAGGTGTTAAGAATGATCTCTAAATATCTAAATACATGTATAGTTGCGTTTCTGTTATGACTCATGTGTACAATAGAAAGTTGTGGGCAAAACTTTCACTTTTAAACTTCACATGGCACCTAGTCATAAGTTGTGTTTTTATCTTAAGCTTCCTGAATTTTCCAGAGAACATTTTCTGACCAAGACTGAGTGGAGAAACTTGACACGGGAACCACGAGTCACCCTGTCAGGGTTCAGGTCAGGAAAAGTCAGGACTGAGTTATTTCTACTCACCCTGTTCCACGCCTCCAGGTCGGCACCGTGTTCGATCAGCAATGCCGCCACTTCAGTCTGCCCGTGCTCGCTGGCCACATGCAGGGATGTCAGGTCACGCTGGATATTTGGGACAGTGACGGGTTATAAAGCTACTTTATAGGCCGTAATGTTTATAAGTTAACAGCTCCTTTACCGAAGAAAAATATGCAGGATGTTATCAAGTAAATTAAGGGTTAATGACCCGCCCCGAGGTGAATACGGTGTGATAAAGCCTTGTCAGTTGCTATAACCACCGAATAAAGCCACCAAGTGAGCGCAGCGAACGAGGTGGCTTTATGAGGTGTTCGGTTCACCCGAGGGGAATGGAACACAACTCAAGTTACTTTTGGATTTTTTAGAACAGAGCGGTGTTCTTTTTGGGTCACCTAAGGTCATATGCGGGTGATTATTGGATGTTTAATGTATGTATTGGGATGAATAAATACCCGATTTTGCCTCTATTTGTGACGTTACGGCGTCAAAAGGAATATGGTATAGAGCCTTCTGATTGGTCAACGTCACCCGGCTATATGATAATATTAGTTCTGTCCACCTGTGAATAATTACACACCGCTTTAGCAGATCAATTATTGCACCTTTAGTTTGGTTGTCACAAACGATTCAAATCATTTAAGCAATGGCTGTTCATCATGTTCTGCTTTTTTTTTCAAATTTAAATAATTACTAACAGTGAACAGCCTGTGGTGCCGCACCCATGCAAAATGGCTTATATCAACGGCATCACTTAACAAAAATGTGATAAATCTAACAGAAATGTGTAACAGGAAAGTTAACAATTAATGTCTGACACAGATTTAGAGGTGGACAAATGAAACAACAGTAATAAGGCTGGACTACGAGTCTGTAACCTTGCATGAACTAACAGTTTGCTTACCCATCTCCTCCTGGCCCTGACGTCCACCCCAGCGTCCAGCCCCCTCCTCACAGTCTGCACGTCACCTTCCTCCACAGCCGTGTAGAACGTGTCCAGGTCCATCTCCTCACTACCTGCTGGGGCGACATGGCAGTTCAGCAACCTTACAGTGGATATCGTACCCTGGTCTATACACATAGCTAACGTTTGCAATGATAGTGTTTGTATGTCTTTCTATCATAATGTGAGATTTAACTGAGGTTAATACACTAGAATTTCTTAGATGTAGATATTCTTTAAAAGCATATGTTATGTTACCCAATCAGGTATCAGACGTCACATGTCCTTGACTCTTGAGGAAGAGCGAGAAAACTGAGTTGATCTGGTTTATCTGATCACACTCATAAAAGTAAACCATCGCGGCACAATATACATTCAAATCCTACGCCGGGGATTAATAATAATGTTTACATTGCGTTCCGGAGCTGTACTTACGTTCTTTATGCTCATGAGTTGTGTTCATAAGGCGGGAAGTTCCTAATATAAGCCTCCTGCCGTGTGATTCACCCCGACTTTAGACGCAGCCAAGTGAGTGTCGTAGACTCGACTAGAGATTTGCCAAACTTTAGGCAGTGGTCTTCACGCCTTACATACATACGGGGGGCAAACGGATGAAAAACCATGCACCAGGAAGACAGAACTGTAATACTCTGATATGTTGCACCCTACCTTCAGCCACAGTGGATCAGGCAGCTGTTCCTGGGATCCCTGGTGTTGGTCAATCCGCTAACTTGGACCAGAAGGGCCAAAATCCCAACATAGACTACAGTTTAGCAGTGGTCTAACGTCTTTTATACAGGGTGGTGGTCAAACCACACGTCAGGAGGGCAGAACTGTATACTCTAATAACATGTTGCACCCTACCTTCAGCCATAGTGGATCAGGCAGCTGTTCCTGGGATCCCTGGTGTTGGTGAATCCGCTAAGTTGGACCAGAAAACAGAGCAAGCCAGGAGCCCAACATGGTGGACAGCCTACCACCCTGGGAGTAACACAAACATTGACGCTATTGTACCGGCACAAAACAGGTGCAACCGAAAACCGTGACCTTCTGTGACCTGTTCCGTGTTTGTCGTCCATTGAACCGTAAACTCAGGTGTATTGATTGCGCGTTGTTGCATGCATGGTGGCTGTTTAAAAAGATCTACAGTCAAGAATATATGGATACCGGACACTAATATTGAAAGGCCAACTTGTTACGTTACTTCTATATTATTTGATTTGATTTGATTAATCATATTTCGTTACTTTGATTAGCTAACTCCACTTTTGGTTAATTATCTACTTTTGGTTGACAAACCTTTTGACCTATCGTTATGATTTGATAACTGAATTATTATGATTGCTTCTATGCTGCCTTGTTTCATTTTGGTTGTATAATGAGTTAGCTACGATTCTCATTTTGTTCACGATGAGTTTATCTATTTTAATTGACCTGTGTTAGTTCTTCTTTTATCTTAATTATTATGTAATGTAATTTTATGTTGGGGTTATCCCCCCAGGAATCTTTGAAAACCGCCATACAGGCGACATGTATATCCTGGATAAATAAATAAACAAACAAACAAACAAATCATGTACCTGTTCATGGGATCTCTACGTGGTGTTGTTAAGTGCTAAGTTGTCATTAGAGAGTAGAGCCAAACTTTCAACGTTGAGTGAGGTTGAACCTCCATCCATCATGGCGAGCTGGATTTAACCACATGTTTAATAGGAGAGCATAACTCTAATCTCCTGACATTTTGCGTCACACCGGGTCCGCCTATTTACCGGAATACACACAAAGGAGGGTGAAAACTACAGGAAGACACCCTATTTTGATGTGTTGATGTATGTTAGCATGAGATAACATAATGATTACTTTTACATGGCCCAGGGAACAAGAAATCACCAGAAACTTTACTGGCGGTGATTTTCCAGATCTGGCCCCTCGCGTCACGAAAGCAGACGGGTTCATCTTGACGTACAGTCAATAGTACAGTCGTCATTTTGTAATGATTTCCACGGGTATATATCTACTTAAATTCACGCCAAAATGTGGTACTAGTAACCTGTGATGTTGACGTATCAAAGCACTATTTATTTCGGTAAATTTATCTTCGTGTCTTTTCTCAATGTGACACCGCTGTACAAAATGTGTATGAAAACAAAGATGGCGAGTTACCTGCACTCTCAGTTGGTCAGACGGCCGTTCTGGAGTCCCTGTTGTCCGGTTTATGCCCTGTTGTGGTTGTTTATCCGCTAACCTGGACCAGAAGACCGGACAGACCCGCAGCCCAACATGGCGACCGGCCAGGACGTCACGAGACACAAACAGGTGCGCAGTTTGGGGACTTTGAACTTTTATCACCAGACGTGCGTTTGTCGTCTGCTTGGTTACTTAACTACGTCAGGCAGTTTGGCGCGAATATCAAAACGCTCAGAGTCCGTCTGGGGCAAAGTAACGGCAGATTAGGCGGCTGATATAAACTAAGAGTTTGAATTCTAACTCGTTCTTTTTCACCTAGGCCATGCTGATTAGATTATATGTATGATATACACGCGCGCATGAATTTTGGGCAGACAGACAATACAGACATGATTTTTCTGTCAAAATCAAGTCATTGTCGCCTCAACGACAGACGGAGATGAGAGGCATCGCAAAGGTGTTTTTAAACTTTTGAGCCATCTGGCCTTTGCTTACCCAAAAGAAGTACAGAAACCGCTTTGAATTTCACAGGTTTATTGTATTCAGTCCGACACCATATTATACATGTTATACATGGCGCACTGAAGTTATGCTAGCTGAAAGCATTATTCACATGATGTCATTTCACTGTGCCATTATTGTATATGCCACTCATACCACGATCTAAACACAATTTACATCAATTCAGCCTCAAAATGTCAAAACGTTCCCATCCTTTGTGACTGACAAACTTACCTGACAGCAAAATAAAGAAATAAAGCAGATTGCAGAAGACATCTATACAATGTAATCGGTAATGTTATAGATGACAATTTGATAATACACGTCACATTGTTCTATGGGAATGTACTCACTAGTCAGTCATTTACAATATTGAATTATAAAAATATTATTTGTCACATTGTCATTAGTCTGTTGTACTTATTGTTTTGCTCTAGTTGACAGAAAATGTTCCTAAGGAAGCAATTTGGTAAAATACAAATTTGGTAAAATACAAATTATGAGAAATTTGGTAAATTTTACAATCAGCTTACTGTGCTGCTATCTATCTGTATTGTTATCTACATGCATTGTGGTGAGTAGCTTTGCACCAAAGATTATACCAGTATCCAAAGATAATAGCAGTACCCATGCCACAATTTGCAGAAAGAAGCTCTGTTACTTAGGTCTTAACAAAGATGGAAATAGTCCTAGAAGCTAAACACAATTTTCTATGCCATATGTCAAATGTAGCTGGTAATCACCAGTACATTTAGCTAGTTTAAGTTTGTTCATCAATTGAGGAACAATTGGGCTGTAGCCATTATCTGGGAACAAAAATTTAGTATTCTCCAATCTTATTAAAACGTACACAGCTGAGGCTAGGCCATTGTTATCCGTATAACACGGCTGCCACCAAGCCGCACAGAGCTAAAATGTAGGTTGGCATTTTCGCCCCCACGAGCAAAGTTACAATAGGAACATCTCACACCACCATCTCTGCCAGATGCGGGGCGACCTCCTCCAGGGCTTCCCTGAACACCTGACGTGCAGCCGCGCCCTTCCGCCGAACGATGTCCAGCAGCTCCCTTGCCTTGTCATGAGGTGTTCTCTTGGCCCTGATGATGCCACATTCCTCTTCACTGATGTGGCCACGCGACAGGAGATGGTTCAGGATTGTCTCCACGGCGTAGGATGACGTCAGGTCCCAGACCAGCTCTGGCCGGTTCCTGATGAGCGGGTCGTCTTCTTCACACAGCAGAGCTCCGGCGCCATCTTGGATCATCGCAGCAGCATGCGGGCTTACCTCTTCTAGTACTGCCTTCCCAATAGCTTGATTTGTGATCACCAACAACTGAGTCGACCATTACTGTGCCCACCGTGTCCACTGTTGCCCCCTGACCTCTACTGATCTGCTGCAGTCGTGATGCCGCAGGCCTGCAGGAAGGCATTGTGGGATTCCTCCCAGTACCTGGACTCCACGAGCTCCCGCTTGAACCTGGCGGCTTTCTCGAACTCCGAGTCGCTGTGCTGGAGGACGTCCACGATTCGGTCTGCCCACCTCTTTGCGTCTCCCGCAGGGTCGTAGTCATTCACGCTGGTCTCCACGATGACGTTCCTGTGCTCTGGGCTGAGTTTCTTCTCCTTGATCAGGTCGAGGATCATCTCTGCCAGGCCGGTTTGGTTGGAGATGAGGACGGGGATGCCTGCGGCGATGGCCTCCAGGCCGACCAGCCCGAACGGCTCGGAGCGGGACGGCATCAGGACCAGGTGGGCCATCTCCATGTCGTCCCTGATGTCCTCCTGGGTCCCGTACGACATGAGGTTTGGCTTCAGTTTGCCGCTGTTCAGGGCGTCCTCCAGGATCTTCTTGCTTATGTCGTATTCATCCTTGAGCTCGCTGATGCCGCGCACGTCCCAGCGAACGTTACGGATCACCTCCACTACTTCTCCCAAGGCCCGTGCTGTGAGGTCATGACCTTTCAGCCTCTCCACCTTCCTCACCCTGCCGATGGACAGGACGACTTTCTGCTCTCCTCCGGGTTTCACATCGGCGTCCAGAAAAATCTTGGATGGCTTCGGGAGGAAGATGTGGTGAATTTGGGGCTTCTTCCTTCCCTTGTACTTGGTGCTGAAGTGGTCGAAGACCTGTTTGCCCACCGAGAAAGCTGCCTTTGCGTTGTGTACTTTATCGAGCATGTCCTTCTCTTTCTCCCGTGCTTTCATGGCATTCCGGCCTCCCTTGTAGTACTCTGTATCCTCGGGTATGACGTGGGTGAACGTCATGAGGTCTGCATGTGGATAGCGTTTATCCTTGATGTTTCGTGCCGCCGTATCTGTGATGTCGGCGTGGCCGATGATGCAGGTGACGTCCTGAGGGAGGTTTGGGAAGTGGTGCAAGTGGTAGTGGGTGAGCCAGTCTAAATTTGGCGCAGTCGTCAGGCCTGATGGATCTGGCTGTATCAGGATGACGCCGTCTCTGTCTGCGGCCTCCTGGTCTTGTTCAGGTACATTCAGCTGTAGGACTGTGGCGTACACGACTGCCTTGCCCTTCAGGGTTTGGCTCGCGTCGCAGTTGACGGTAGAAACTCCCCCCTTGGAAGTTCCATACTCGTCGCTGATCAACAAGATTACGGGTCCTCTGGGACCTGCAGACAGGCGATAATAAAGACTGTATTGATCACGAAAAGTTATTCTGCAAGAAAATTATTTCTAAAAATTACAATACGTACATGGAAGCACATAGGTTTGGCCATCTACACCTGTAGAAATGTGAAAATCCCATGATACGTTCTATATTTTGAGTCATACTTTGCTGGTTTCAAACCCTTCTAAATAACATATAAGAACAATGGTTATATGCTTACAACATTACCTAATGTGACTGTTCAGCTATCGGGGAATAGTTATATCATTAGCCATGCAGTCATGTGATTACCTTGACGAATCACAGGAACATCGGTGCTGGTTTCTTGTGGAGTCTTGATTTTTGGCTGAGGTGTCTGTGGCATTAGACGACTGTCTTCCCCTTCCCTTCCTCTCTCTCTTGTCGGTTCTACATCTTCTGGAAGTTGTTCACCTTTGTCGATATCTGCTCTTTCTTTACTGTTTCTCCGTTGTTCAGGCTCTCCTCTGGATCCATCCTTGGTGTAACGCAGTGACTTATATTCGTTATTTCTACAGAGCAGGTCACTGACCTGTTCCGTGAACCCGAGGGAGGGATGGACGATTGTACCGCCCTCTGCTGCTGCCTTGCTGATCTCCTCCTTGCCATAGGAGTAGAATTCCTCCCTGTGTTCCGTCAGTGCACGAGCGCTGAGCACCTTCTCTTCTGTGCCTGTTCCTGGGCTGCACTCATCCAGCACATCAGCGATGATGTTCTCCAGCTGCTGCAGCATCTTGCCGCACTGCACCTTGTCACCCTGCGCACTCCGGACACAGATGTTGGCTGCACGGCCGTCCGGAGAGAGTTTGATCAGACCTTCCACATTCCTGTCCACACACTTGGCGCCATCTCTCCACAGCAGCGGGCGATTCTCCTGCTCCCTCATCAGGCGGGTCTGCACTCGGGGGAAGAACCCGGAGGAGAACATGTCAGTGGACTCGGCACACTGGACTTGCTTCCCGAAGTAGACCGCCCTTGGCTCAGGTGTTGGTTTCCAAACCTCGGCAGGTATGGTTTGTTTCATCAGCCCTGGGAAGATGAAGGTCTGTCCGTCATAGGAGTGGCAGAGCTGGAACTCTTGCAGCAGGGTGATGAGGAGATCCACGTCAGCAACGTCTTGGAAGACGCGCTGGATCTCCTCCCTGGTGACGTAGTCTTCGCTTGTTCTCTCCAGGCGGGGAATGGGGAAGTTGACTGGTGCCATCATTGGACCGAAGACATCTGTGCAGAGCCAGTTGGGCTTCAGGACAATGATGGGATCAGAAGAACTCGGACAGGTGAAGATGATCTTTAAAACAAAAGTACATTAAATCAAATCCATTAGTTTTGGGCAAGTAGGTCAAAGCAAACTGGACAACCAGATCATAACGTACCGATTTAATTGTAAAATTGGTGTGGTGGTTTTTGTGCTGTGCTTATCTTTTAAGGTTTAAAATTACAAGATTTGCTTTGTAGTGTTTATGTTCAGAAGCTTCCCACACGTAGTGACAGCCTACCTCCCCCAGATGGTCCAGAAATCGTGTAGACTCCCGCAGGAAGTCTTCATCCACATGTGGGTCGATCTCTTTGACTGCGTCCACGTAGTCTGGCCACCCCAGTACGGGACACTTCGGGCTGCACTTCGTCTGGCACCAGCTGGGCAGCCGCTTGATGATTTCTGCGCACAGGTTGGGCGTCTGGCGTTGGTGCTGTGCAAGTTGTAAATGGACATCTATAACTGGTTAATAATAGCAAATGTTGCCGATGCATTGAGCCAGTGCGTCACCACATCACTGCCCACCACCACCGAGAAAAGGTGAACCCCAAGAATTCTACGTGTTGTTCAAGCCCCACAAGTTGCTGAGAAGCCAGAGCTACAAGTCAGAGCAAGAATAACAACCAGAGGAGAAGTCTACACTTCGAAGAAGATGGATTTCTCTTTATTTCTCGTTTTGTGTAACATAGTAATCAAGACTTTTATGACATGTTTAATTGTTCTAGAACAATAAATGACGTCATGTAGTAGGTCGACCAAGGTCAAAACGAACTATGTAACAGGTCAGGGCGATCTGAACGCAATGTAACTGACCTGAGGGCACTATGCACTGGAAAGGTATATAAGTGAGAACTTCCTGCACTTGTGTCATTAGCCTCTGTACACTTGAAGAAGTCACACAGGCGAAACCGGTCGTGTGACAGGCTGAATAAAAGTTCTAAACGGGAACTATGCGGCTCCAAATGTGTTACTGAGGGATGACTGCGTGTGCAAGATGTCGGTAGCTTGAGGAATGAATCCCCTCTACTATATACAGCAAATGTTGCCAATGCATTACGAGCTTACCTCTAACATGGCCTTCTTCATCTTAGCAAGCAGCTCCTTGAGTCGGTCCATCTCAGGTGTTCGCGTCAACTTACAGTTCATCAGGAAGACTTCGTCTGAGATACGGAGGAGATCTTTGAACTTCGCCTTCATCGACTGCAGGAGATGAGCAGCTTGGTGCTGTCCTGAACGTTTTGAGCAAAGCAAAATATAGATGAGGATTCACACGGACCATGATATGGCATTTGATATATTTGTACAAATGCATTGTTCTTAATCTTTTACAGGTTACATGTTTGATGCATTCAGCACACAGCATACATAGCACTCCATAATGTATGAGAAGTATACACATTGCTTTGCTTCGTTCACTTATAACATGCAAATGGATTTTGAAAGCCAAGTGAATTGTGCATGCAGTTAGTCTTGAAAACGCTACTCACCACTTGTGGGTGACACTTTGTCGGCATGGCTGGCCACTAAGATGACGTCACGCTGCCGGTTTGGGTTGCAGGACTTGATGAAACTCAGCCACCGGTGGACCTGGAGCAGAACATTCAACAAATAATTTACATGGTTGCCAAGACCTGCTATGAAGAAATGATATGAGAACATGTTAAAAACATTCCATTAAACTGGCCTTGTTCAACATTAATTGTATATTATATCGTACAATTAACAATTTTGTATGATTATCTTGATTATATAGACATGTATAGCTAGTATTTTATTTTGCAAACGGATTGATTTTGTCGTTTGTTTTGTTCTGTTTATTTGATTTACGTATGTGACAGGCTCTGTAATTCTGATTTTGAGTTGATATTGTTCAACGTATTTTGAATTACTCCTATGTTCGATTTTGTGTTTTATGTTGTACAATTGTAACGTTTTGTTGATTCATCTGTTGATGTGGAGCCAGGGCCCCCTTGGAAATCAGTTGTTTATCAACTGAAGGGGCGACCCTCAAGATTAATAAATAAAAAATAAAAAAATCTATGCAGTTATCTAAAGTTCAATGTGCTGTTTACGTCTTGTTCTTGGGTGTCGTCCATGATGTTGTACAGCACAATGGAGATGGTGTTCTCTGCATCCATGAACATGCTGTGGGTTACCGCGTACTCCGACTGCCCAGCAAAATCCCACAGGCTGACCTCCCCCACCCCTGGAATATGGAACGTCCCAACATTCACCCCTGGGGTGGGGTCGTGAAGCTCCTCGGCTGACGACGTGTACATGTAAGTCCAACCTTGGAGCCGTGCAGACACCCAGCCCTGTTGGACAGCATTAGATTTTCACATCTTTCATCAAAAGTGTCCCATCAGCCTAAGGCTAAGAAATCTATTTCATTAATTTTTGTCTTGAAACGAGATCGGTAGGATTTATGGAACAAGCGAAGTTCCTACTTACCCTTTGAAGACTTTCTGCAAGTGTGGATTTTCCCCCTTTTTCTTTCCCAAACAAGGACACCTTACACCTGTCGGTCTTCACTCCGCCAGACTTCTGCAGCAACTCGCTGTACAACTTCTCTTTGATCACTTCCTTTTCCCGATTCTGGTGGGAGGTAGAAAAACCAAATGCAGCGTAAGTTCTCAAAATCTGTGATATTGATAAACAGGTTTAAGCAATAATACGGAAATATTTTCAATATAGTCCTAACTATTCATCAGTTTTCTTTGCTAGCACCAGCAGTTACATTGTGATTAACCCGAAACATAGAGAAGTAAAGACACTCATCCTGTCACAGATCACAGATCAATGAGAATATTGTTCACCTTCAGAACACGAAGAGTCTCCTGGTCCTCTGCTACCTCAGAAGGTGTCCGTCCGTCCTGTACAGGGAGACATCAGAAATTTGTTCACTCGAAATGTGCAACCAGCAATGTCTAACGATGACACCAAAACTATCATGGCTTAATCAAATATCAGTACGATTTGTGAACGACTGATATTGTAAGTTATACTCTCCCCGTCCTCACCTCTGGGCTAACAATAAGCAGGGGATCACGGTCTGATCGGCAGTAGTACGGCGGAGGTTACTCATGTTTAAGGTAGGGGTTCCGTTACTGGAGCATTCCACATTCCATGACTGATAATCACCACATACGAGCATCGCTCCTGACCACTCAATGTACCACCTCGTGTTGCATCCGAGAAAACCGGCGAGAGATGGGATCTTAGATGGATTTTTAAAGATGTGGTGTGCGTCTGTATACATAACCAGTATGACCGCCATTCGGCAGTTTCACACTAATGTCTTGTGGCATCCAAACCATGTACAGTACATTATGTCCTACCTGGGCCGCGATTACGTTCGATACGGGTGTTCCGGCCCGTGTGATAACTAGCGGTACGGCCCGGGGGTTCTTAACGCGTACGGCCCGGGGCTTCCAAATGTTCCATAGAACGATTCGAACTCGTTTCGCCCTAACCGCTTGCACCGCTTTCGAAAATTCGAACACAAAATTCGGACGTTGGAATTGATGTTGTTGCATTGTTTGGGTTTAGGGACACCAAATGTTCGCCTATTTCGCATTAAAAGGCGTGTTTTCTTGGGTGGGTATGACATAAATAAAATACAACACGGTGTATTCCGCATCACCCTCGGTCCCAGCCCTCCCGCGGATCGGATCTCCCTCCGGCCTTCGGCCGTCGGGCGATCCGACGCGCGGTCGGGCTGGTACCTCGGGCGATGCGGAATACCCCGTGTTGTATTCTATATGTATAGTATAGTATAGCAATATGACATGCATGGCATTTGCCTCACAAAGCTGTTCGAATGAAGCTTGTATTTATCAACTCTTGTACTGCCGTGGGGTGTGTTCTGTACCTGTATCTGTATAGCCGGTATAACCGCCCTTCGGCGTAACACACCAGCTTCTGTATCTGTATAGCCGGTATAACCGCCTTTCGGTGTAACACACCAGCTTCTGTATCTGTATAGCCGGTATAACCGCCCTTCGTCGTAACACACCAGCTTCTGTGTCTGTATAGCCGGTATAACCGCCCTTCGGTGTAACACACCAGATTCTGTATCTGTATAGCCGGTATAACCCCCCATCGGCGTAACACACCAGCTTCTGTGTCTGTATAGCCGGTATAACCGCCTTCGGCATAACACACCAGCTTCGTGTTCATGACTGTTTCCTAACATGTGCAAATTGTGCACAAAGCTTTTGATGCACAAGCATTAAAAAAAAATTACATGGACAAACGTGTGTACGTATGTTATATGCATTATTATTACCTTCGCCAAGAAGGTTATGTTTTCAGTAGCGTTTGTCTGTGTGTGTGTGTGTTTGTGTGTGTGTGTGTGGTTTAGCAAGATAACTCGAGAAGCAGTGAATGGATTGGAATGAAACTTGGTAGGTAGGTAGGTCTTCATGAGACCTAGAAATGATTAGATTTTGGGCCCCCTGGCGGCTTTCCTAGGTACTGCAGCAGAACTTCCGGTTTTGATATTTCGTGATCTGGACATGCTAGGGTCACGAATTTTGGTTGGTAGATAGCTCTTGGGGTAGGGAAGAAGTGACATGAGTGTGGGTTCCCTAGCGGCTTGTTCTGGAACTGCAGGAGCATTTGTTGAAAAAATTTCAAAGGATGATAACTCAAGAACAGGTTGACGGATTGTCATGATCTTTAGTATGTAGGTAGTTGAAATGATGCTTGACATAATCAGATGACAATTATGCAAATCAGGAGCTAATTTGCATAATTAATGAGGAAATTCTATAAATCTGCTTTGTTCGATAATAGACCTGTGAAACACTTGTGACATCTACTTGAGAACGAGATAAAACATCTGAGGATATAGATTATGTAAATGAGGACCTAATTTGCATAATTAATGGCAAATTTTTATAATTTCATAGTTGAAACTGTTGGGAATTTTATACTTGCCACATTTGGAAGTTAAGTTAAGCTGAACATCAATAAACATAATTTATTCAAATCATGACCTCATTTGCATAATTTATGAAGAAGTGCTATAATAGCCTTTTTGTTAAAATAAGGCTGCCATTGGGTGGAGATTGAATATGATCATCTGATATAATCCATGCAAATGAGGCTCTTATTTACAAAATCGATGATTAAATTGTATAATTCGTCAACCACAAGGGTAAACATCACTTGGCGAAGGTATGAGATCGCGGAACTCTTGTTTTTAATGTCATAAACATGCATGTAATCTATAGGGTCCATTTGAGCCAAGTGTGTATTACCTCATTCCTGGCCGTCACGTCTGCCCCATGACGAATCAGAAGCTCACAAGTCCCGGCGTGGCCATTCTCAGCAGCCCAATGCAAGGGTGTGTGCTGGCCCTGTACAGGGGGGGAAGGTCAGGGTCAGTAGGGATGGGTTCAACACGGACAACAGTTATCGTATTGGTAAGAATCAGTATGAGCTACATGTAAAGTTGTGTATATCAACAAGTGTTCCTGAAACCCCTGCAATGGATCCGTCATACCTGATCAGGTACACTGTATATTATATTGATCTTATGCCACATTCATGCCTGTTTCCTGTATTTGTACCTTAGTATTTGTCTATTTATGTTGTACCTCTAAATACCTGAGTACCTAATCAGCTAATGTTTGCATTATTATTGTCTCTATCTTTTTTTTATTAAAACAGCAAAAACATAAATACATACAAGATGACGTCGAACTATATGGTAATTACATGGACAAATAAATAGATATACAAAATCGAAACAAACTAATTAGCGTTTAGTACATGGAATTCAACGAGCGCAAGTCCCAATCCATGTTCTCTATCTCTGTCCCATTTCCATGTAATCATTTGAAACAACTGCTTATTACCCAATCCCTGGCCGTCACGTCTGCCCCATGACGAATCAGAACCTCACAAGTCCCGGGGTGGCCCTCAGCAGCAGCAGCCTCATGCAAAGGTGTGCGCTGGAGCTGTACAGGGGGACGGTCAGGGTCAGTAGGGATGGGAAGTGACGTACACGTACATTTCCGCTCATCAACCTCGGGTGAGGTTTATGGGTTGATAGAGGCTGATGTATGAATAAAGTTTGTGCATGTTCGGGTTGGTTCGATATTTCCGCAACACAACTGCTCCTGACTTCACGTTCCCGCCAGACTCGCCATGTACTTTCAAATTGGTATAATCTGAGTCTTATTTTTTCAGCCAGTATAACCGCCGCTCGGCGTAACAAACAGCTTAGCAAGCACGCCGCTATCTATGTCACAGCGAGTGAGGGCGCACCTAAACCATGTATAGTATGATGTAATACACTGTACAGTACATTTGTGTAACTTAACTAACTTGTTACATTGAAGGTTGGATTGCGAAGTTTGTATTTACTGATTACTGGTACAGACATGGGCATGTTTAAGGCTGTTTTCTTTTTAAGAAATAAGAAAAAACATCCTAGTTCTTTAATTGCACTGGCGAAGGTATGTTTTTTATCATAGGCACAGAAGTGTGTAGTGTAGTAGACATGTAGTCAATGACATATCATGATCAAGTTCACATTCATGTAATTTCTGGAGTTCATTTGAAACAAGTGTGTATTACCTCAGTCCTGGCCGTCACGTCTGCCCCATGACGAATCAGAAGCGCACAAGTCCCGGTGTGGCCACAGAAAGCAGCCAGATGCAAAGGTGTGTACTGGCCCTGTACAGGGGGAAGGTCAGGGTCAGTAGGGATGGGTTCAACACGGACAACGGTTATCACGTGGGTAAGCTACAGTATGGGCTACATATAAAGTTGTGTTAAGAAGGTTATAACCTGCTTGGTTGTGTACACCAACAAAAGTTCCTGAAACTCCTGTTATGGATCTCTCATACCTGATCTGATCAGGTATACTGTATGTTGTATTGACTTTATGCCACATTTATGCCTGTTTTCTGTATTATCTCCTTAGATGTGTCTAATTACGTCCGTCCGTACCTAATGAGTACCTAATTAGCTTATGTTTGTGTAATTGTCTCTGTACCATATTCATGTAAATCTGTAGGGTCCAGTTGAAACAAGCGTGTATTTAATACCTCATTCCTGGCCGTCACGTCTGCCCCATGACGGATCAGAAGCTCACAAGTCCCGGTGTGGCCCCCGAGAGCAGCCTCATGCAAAGGTGTGTCCTGGTACTGTACAGGGGGGAAGGTCAGGGTCAGTAGGGATGGATTCAACACAGTTATCACGTGGGTAAGNGTAGACATGTAGTCAATGACATATCATGATCAAGTTCACATTCATGTAATTTCTGGAGTTCATTTGAAACAAGTGTGTATTACCGCATTCCTGGCCGTCAAGTCTGCCCCATGACGAATCAGAAGCTCACAAGTCCCGGTGTGGCCCCCGCGAGCAGCCCGATGCAAAGGTGTGAACTGGTACTGTACAGGGAGGAAGGTCAGGGTCAGTAGGGATGGGTTCAACACGTCAGTCTTGTACCTTCATAATTACCTTATGTTATCACATTTTTACATACACATCTGTTACTTAAGTAATACAGTTACCTTCATTTGGTTTATCCTAAGTTCATTTTGACACAACCACAATGTTCACCCCATTCATATACTTTCCTCCTGTAACAACGTTTTTTATTGTCTTTGTATTATTTATATTATTTGCTCAGTTTTTCCTTGTTTAAGTTTCTCATTATTTTGTACATAATTTGCTTTTAATCTTGTAATTCTGCACACGGCATTGTGACCGTATGTGCCGCCGATGTGAAGGCGAAATAAAGTTCAAAGTTCACGGACAACAGTTATTACGTGGGTAACAAGCAGCATGGGCTACATGTAAAGTTGTGTACACCAACAAAAGTTCCTGAAACTCCTGTTATGGATCTCTCATACCTGATCTGATCAGGTATACTGTATGTTGTATTGACTTTATGCCACATTTATGCCTGTTTTCTGTATTATCTCCTTAGATATGTCTATTTATACCGTACGTCCGTACCTATGAGTACCTACTAGTATTATAAATCAGCTAATGATTGTATAATTGTCTCTGTACCATATTCATGTAATCTGTAGGGTCCATTTGAAACAAGTGTGTATTACCGCATTCCTGGCCGTCACGTCTGCCCCATGACGAATCAGAAGCTCACAAGTCCCGGTGTGGCCCCGGACAGCAGCCAGATGCAAGGGTGTGTCCTGGAATTGTACAGGGAGGAAGGTCAGGGTCAGTAGGGACGGGAAGTGACGTACACGTACATTTCCGCTCATCAACCTCGGGTGAGGTTTATGCGTTGATAGAGGCTAATTTATGAATAAAATTTGTGCATGTTCGGGTTGGTTCGATATTTCAGCAAAATAACTGCTCCTGACTTCACGTTCCTGCCAGACTCCGGCCATGTACTTTAAGACTTTGGTATTTCTTATTTATACCAAAGAGTCTTATTTAATCAGCCAGAATAACCACCGTTCGGCGTAAAACACCAGCTTAGCAAGCACACCGCTGGCTATGTCACAGAGAGTGAGGTCGCACCTAAACCATGTATAGTATGATGTAATACACTGTACAGTACATTTGTGTAACTTAACTAACTTGTTACATTGAAGGTTGGATTGTGAAGTTTGTATTTACTGATTACTGGTACAGAAATGGGCATGTTTAAGGCTGTTTTTTTTAAGAAATAAGAAAAAACATCCTAGTTCTTTAATTGCCCTGGCGAAGGTATGTTTTTTATCATAGGCACAGAAGTGTGTAGTGTAGTAGACATGTAGTCAATGACTTATCATGATCAAGTTCACATTCATGTAATTTCTGGAGTTTATTTGAAACAAGTGTGTATTACCTCAGTCCTGGCCGTCACGTCTGCCCCATGACGAATCAGAAGCGCACAAGTCCCGGTGTGGCCACAGAAAGCAGCCAGATGCAAAGGTGTGTACTGGCCCTGTACAGGGGGAAGGTCAGGGTCAGTAGGGATGGGTTCAACACGGACAACGGTTATCACGTGGGTAAGCTACAGTATGGGCTACATATAAAGTTGTGTTAAGAAGGTTATAACCTGCTTGGTTGTGTACACCAACAAAAGTTCCTGAAACTCCTGTTATGGATCTCTCATACCTGATCTGATCAGGTATACTGTATGTTGTATTGACTTTATGCCACATTTATGCCTGTTTTCTGTATTATCTCCTTAGATGTGTCTAATTACGTCCGTCCGTACCTAATGAGTACCTAATTAGCTTATGTTTGTGTAATTGTCTCTGTACCATATTCATGTAAATCTGTAGGGTCCAGTTGAAACAAGCGTGTATTTAATACCTCATTCCTGGCCGTCACGTCTGCCCCATGACGGATCAGAAGCTCACAAGTCCCGGTGTGGCCCCCGAGAGCAGCCTCATGCAAAGGTGTGTCCTGGTACTGTACAGGGGGGAAGGTCAGGGTCAGTAGGGATGGATTCAACACAGTTATCACGTGGGTAAGACTCAATATGAGATGAAGTTCCGTCGATCACCAGCAATTTCTCGGATCTCCAGCTACGATCCCGCCATAGCCTGACAGGTGCAAACTTTCATTTTATTTTATTCAGTGAAGAAAACAGGAGGGATGTGTGGCGCTGTACTGAAATTAAATCACTACTTACGTTACATCTCTAGAAAGAAACGAGTGAAGTAGAAAAAACAAGAGTTCCGCGATCTCATACCTTCGCCAAATGATGTTAACCCTTGCGGTTGACGAATTATACAATTTAATCATCGATTTGTAAACAAGAGCCTCATTTGCATGGATTATATCAGTTGATCATATTCAATCTCCACCCAATGACAGCCTTATTTTAACAAAAAGGCTATTATAGCACTTCTTCATAAATTATGCAAATGAGGTCGATTTGAATAAATTATGCTTATTGATGTTCAGCTCCACTTAACTTCCAAATGTGGCAAGTATGAAATTCCCAACAGTTGCAACTATGAAATTATAAAAAATTGCAATTAATTATGCAAATTAGGTCCTCATTTACATAATCTATATCCTCAGATGTTTTATCTCGTTCTCAAGTAGATGTCACAAGTGTTTCATAGTTCTATTATCGAACAAAGCAGATTTATAGAATTTCCTCATTAATTATGCAAATTAGCTCCTGATTTGCATAATTGTCATCTGATTATGTCAAGCATCACTTCAACTACCTACATACTAAAGATCATGACAATCCGTCAACTGGTTCTTGAGTTATCATCCTTCGAAATTTTTTCAACAAATGCTGAGTGGAGAACCCTGACACGGGAACCACGAGTCACCCAGTCAGGGTTCAGGTCAGGAGAAGTCAGGACTGAGTTATTTCTACTCACCCCGTCCCTCGCCTCCAGGTCGGCACCGTGTTCGATCAGCAATGCCGCCACTTCAGTCTGCCCGTACCTGCTGGCCACATGCAGGGATGTCTGGTCATCCTGGATAGAACAACAGTTGGGATGATAACCGGTTACAAAACGACTGTTTGAGCCATACGTTTATAGAACATTATTTCAGTCAGAATGGATATGTTACGGAAATGTGACAAGGGAACCACGAGTCACCCTGTCAGGGTTCAGGTCAGGAGAAGTCAGGACTGAGTTATTTCTACTTACGTCGTCCCCCGCCTTCAGGTCGGCACCGTGTTCGATCAGCAATGCCGCCACTTCAGTCCGCCCGTGCTCGCTGGCCACATGCAGGGCTGTCCGGTTAGACTGGATAGAACAACAGTTGGGACGATAACCGGTTACAAGGCGGCTGTATATAGGCCGTGCGTTTACTCAAAATGACATATCCCGACAGCTTTTGTTACCGAAAGAAATATATGCATGATGATACCTAGTGTTTGTTTTGGCCACCGCTTTAAGCAATCCCTTAACGTAATCAGGCCGTTTTAGACTTCGTAATTCGTAGGCAGCCTCCGCAAAAATCAACGTAATTCGTAATAGGACATTAGCCGCAAATCGTAAAGTCGTAATCAGCTCTGAGACTTTAACGTAATTCGTAATAGGCGGCGAAAATTTTGCGTAATTCGTAATCACTACCCCCCCCCCCCCCATCATCAGGCTATCCTTTAACCGAGCAACTTTACAGCTTTAGTTTGCATATTGTCAAAAACGGTTTACAAGTCAGAGTTTCGGATCATTTAAACAATTGGTGTTCATCATGTTCTGCTTTCTTTCAACATCTAAATAGTACAGTGAACTAAGCTAAATGGCTTATGTCAACGACAACACTTAACAAAATGTGATACATCTAACAGAAATACGCAACAGTAAGGTAATGTCTAATACAGATTCGACGAAAAGAAAAAACAGTAATAATGCTGGACTGCGAGTCTGTAACCTTGCATGAACTAACAGTTTGCTTACCCATCTCCTCTGGGCCCTGAGGTCCACCCCAGCGTCCAGCCCCCTCCTCACAGTCTGCACGTCACCTTTCTGCACAGCCGTGTAGAACGTGTCCAGGTCCATCTCCTCATTACCTGCTGGGGTGACATGGCAGTTCAGCAAGCTTACGGTGGATAGCGTACCTGGTCTATACATATGGGTCCTTATTTCAAGATCAGCCGGCTACTCTGTATTCCTACTATGGAGGCGAAGGCTTGAATGCTAACAAGCCACGTGTACGCAACAACGGCAACACAGTCTTCACTTAACTTTGCTAGTCACCATTGTACCGGGCAGGCAGAAAATGTAATGATGCCTTACCACGCAAAGGTGATGGAAAACTGTATACCCCATTCTATTATAACCTTACAAAGTGACGTGGTTTTGTTACCCAATGAGATGTATTTGTTACCCAATCAGGTATCAGACGTTAAATGTCAAATGTTGACTCTTGATGTCTTGAAGAAGAGAGAGAACTGAGTTGATCTGGTTTATTTGATTACACTCATAAGATAAACCAGCGCGGCACAAGGAGTGTAACGTTACTCTACAAGACTGGCGAAAGTAAAAATGCTCCGTAATATGACGTTATACATTCACGTCCTATGCCGGGGTTAATGTTTACAATGCGTTCCCGAGCTGTACTTAAGTTATTTATGCTCAAGAGTTGTGTTCATAAGGCGGGAAGTTCAACATTCAAACTGACTTGAAGTGCGAGTTCCTAATATAAGCCTCCTGTCGTGCGATTCACCCCGACTTAAAACTTAGAGGCAGCCAAGTGAATGTCGTAGACTCGACTAGAGATTTGCCAAACTTAAGACAGTGGTCTTCACGTCTTACATACATACCGGGGGCAAACGGATGAAAAAACAGACGTCAGGAAGACAGAACTGTTACAGTAATATCTGATATGTTGCACCCTACCTTCAGCCACAGCGGATCAGGCAGCTGTTCCTGGGATCCCTGGTGTTGGTCAATCCGCTAACTTGGACCAGAAGACAGAGCAAGCGAAGAGCCCAACATGGCGGACAGCCTACCACCTTGGGAGTAACACAAACATTGACGCCTTTTGTACCGGCGACAAAACAGGTGTAAACAGGTGTACTAGTAACCGGAAACCGTGACCTTCTGTGACCTGCTCCATGTTTGTCGTCCATTGAACGGTAAACTCAAGTGTGTTGAATGCGCGCAACTCCAGCCGTGCATGGCCGATCAGGTACCTGCTCAATTGGGCTCCTGCATGGTGTTGTTTATCCACTGAGTTAGCGGAGACGGGCCCGGGGAAAAGCTAAACTTTGAAAATGGCGCGCTGGGCCGAGTCTTCACTTTGTAACAGCGAGTATATAGGTGTAACAGCGAGTATATAGGTGTAACAGCGAGTATATAGGTGTAACAGAGTCATATAGGCGTCACTAACTACCCGCCCAATGGATTCTGGAGCTTTTGGCAAAATGGTTTGTGCGCTGGTTGTGAGCGACGCGGGTTCGATTCCCGGGGGTCAGAGTCAACCTTAGAGTTACTCCTTTCTCTGTGTTATAACTTAATCGGTATTTGTCGTCCCGTTCAGAGCTATCAAAATCACTATTTGCCCTGAAACGCAGGAAAAGGTCAAATAGCGGAACACAGAAAACCGCGAGTGACAAAGACCAAAGGTGTGCATTTTAGGTTGGCTCGTCCAGTTTTGTTACGGTCTGCTAAATGTATGGGAACTCGACCCCCCCCCCCTCAACAAACTAGACCTTCTGGTACGTAATACGCGTCCGGCGTTGCTCTCTACCATACGTTACCGACATACATTTTGTAGATCCCCTAATTAACACACAAACACACCGGTAGGAAAGCTGCCCGACACGGTTGTAGATTATTGTTAAGTCTTTCATATACTTTAATTCTTGTTGCTAAAATTCAACATTGTGCGTTTAATGATTTCATTCTCTGGGTACTCGATCTATTTTCTCAATACTTGCCATTGATGCATGGGAGGGGATGAGATGCCGTATTTCTGTGTAGAAACAACCAGACTAGAGCAACCTACTAGAATATCAACTTCCCGACGTTAGCAAAAACACACCATGGAGAACAATAGCGGCTCAGTACATGCGGCAAGTATCATGCGCCGACCGTGCTGAGGATGGTAATGGTAATGATGATGATGTAATGATGGTGATGATGTTGATATGACGATGGTAATGGTAATGATGTTAATGATGATGTTGATATGATGATGATGACGTGTATGATGATGGTGATGATGTTGATGATGAGGATGGTGATGTGGATGATGTTGTTTATGATCATAATGATGATGTGTATGATGATGTGGATGATGAAGTGGATGATGATGTTGATGATGATGACAGTGATAATGTTGTTAATGATGTTGATGAGGATGATAGTGATGATGGTGGTGAGGATGATGGTGATGATGATGAGGATGATAGTGAGGATGATGGTGATGATGACAGTGATAACGATGTTGTTAATGATGTTGATGATGATAATGATGTTGATGAGGATGATAGTGATGATGGTGGTGATGATGTTGATGGTGACAGTGTTAATGATGCTGTTAATGATGTTAATATGATGATGATGAAATGTACACAATAGCTTCCCCCCAACCAGTATTGCCCCTGAGAAGTTCTATCGATCACCTGTCAGTTTGACCGGATTGTCACCTGATCTGGGACCTGTTGTTTATATCTACAGAACTTAGACCTTATAATCACGTGATTCATTAGTGATTAACTAGCGAGCGATGCAGCTTCATTGTCAAAACGTGACCGTGCAGAGCACAGCAGCAACATTTTCACATCACAAATCCTGTTTTCTAACATACATTTGCTGAGTTGATAAACCCTTGTCCTGCGGAGCACGACAATTGTTGTTCTGCACATACAGTACCATCTATATAGCAACCTGCATAGTTACAATTTGGGGGTATTTCTTGTGCAACGCATCACATCACATCGCAGCAAAACGCAACGAATGCGGAAGTAACTATGCCACCGCAGGGCAAAAAAAGTCGGGGGTCTATGACCTGATTAAGACATGAAATTAACAAGAAATATTGTGTAAAAAAATACCATCAGGACAAGGGTTAAAGTCGAAGGAACTTATAGATTGCACATAAAGGTGACAATGTCTGATTGTCAACTTGAACTTGAATGTAAGCTCCAGCACCCAGTGCCTCATGCTTACATTTCAAGCCTATCAGATTGTAATGTGCGTAAAGATGTAATTGCAGTAGATTGCACATAAAGGTTTCTAGTTTCACATCAAATCCCTGATTTCTAACATACCTATACATTTGCTGAGTTGTGTTTAAATTGAATGAACTTATTAGTAGATTGCACATAAAGGTGACAACGTCTGATTGTCAACTTGAACTTGAATGTAAGTTCCAGCACCCAGTGCCTTTTGCTTACATTTCAAGGCTATCAGATTGTAATGTGCATATTACTAAGAACTGTAATTGTAATATTTTGCACATAAAGGTTTCTAGTTTCACATCAAATCCCTGATTTTGCACATACATGTACATTTGCTGAGTTGTGTTTAAGTTGAAGGAAATTATTAGTAGATTGCACATAAAGGTATAATATTGACAACATCTGATTGTCAACTTGAATGTAACTTCAAGCACCCAGTGCCTTATGCTTACATTTCAAGGCTATCAGATTGTAATGTGCATATTACTAAGAAGTGTAATTGTAATAGATTGCACATAAAGGTTTCTAGTTTCACATCAAATCCCTGATTTCTAACATACATAATATATATACATTTGCTGAGTTGTGTTTAAATCGAAGGAACTTATTAGTAGATTGCACATAAAAGTATGATATCAGCAACGTCTGATTGTCAACTTGAACTTGAATGTAAGTTCCAGCACCCAGTGACTCATGCTTACATTGCAAGGCTATCAGATTGTTATGTGCGTAAAAGATGGATTTGCAGTAGATTGCACATAAAGGTAAAATCTTGTCATTTGACCCTGAATATGGAGTCTGATTTGCTAGTTTGGGCCATGATTTGGTAACCAGAGTCTTTGCTGCAGTTCCTGAGAATGTCGGTAGGAGCTGCAGTTCCTGAGAGTGTCGGTAGGTGAGCTTCAGCTGACGGCTGTGTTGAAGGTGAGGCAGACGGGGATGTGGTCCGTCAGTCTGGCCAGCTGCGTCACCAGGGTGTACCTCTCCACACACTGCATGCAACAAACAAACAAACAAACAAACAAAGGTGGTCAACAACATGTGAAGCCACATTTCACAGTTTACACGAGGAATGAAGAAAAAAGAGATACAATGTGAAGATGGTGTTTATGACAATTATTTGTACAAAATGTAATTTTGAATGGGGTCTGCAGTATGTCTATTCCCATCAGGCTCTGTCACTTGCAATCGAGCTGCTCTTAGGTGGATAGTCACCATGGCTGTCGGATAACTTTTCCCAACTGTTACACATCCTCTAGTTTCTGTTACAGCTTGTTTCAAAGCCAGACTTTGCCCGTGAAGTGTAAAGAAGAGTCCCTCACCACATCTCTGCCACCCCCCACCCCGTCAGGCCGGTAAATTTTCCAGAACAATGCCTGTCTCAAATCTATGTTCTTGGATACGCAGTGTTCAGAAGTGTAAAGAAGAGTCCCTGACTCACCACATCCCCCCGCCCCCGTCAGGCAGGTACATGACGAAGTCTCTGTACCTCGGAAATACAGGGGAACTTAAACACAGGATTATTCCTGACCCTAACCCTGACCTTATCTCTCTAGAACTAGATAGGCACGGTTCTGGCTATGATCCTTCACTCACCACATCCCCCCGCCCCCCGTCAGGCCAGTACATGACGTAGTCTCTGTACCTCGGAAATACAGGGGAACTTAAACACAGGATTATTCCTGACCCTAACCCTGACCTTATCTCTCTAGAACTAGATAGGCACTGTTCTGGCTATGATCGTTCACTCACCACATCCCCCCGCCCCCCGTCTGGCCGGTACATGACGTAGTCTATCCGGCGCCGCCCCGCGATGTCGGGAACGTCCGCCTCCTCCGCCGGCGACTCCGGCACGCTCCACACCATGTCCATGTTCGCGTCGGTCACGTCTCCGTCCAGCAGGTACCGCGCCTGCAACCGCCTGCTCCGCAGCGCTGCACGCAGCTTCTCCGGAGTCGAGATGGAAGTCTCCCAGAACGTGCACTGCCGAAGCTCCGTACCTGGGAAATACAGGGGAACTTTAACCTAACCCTAACCTTAACTCTTACCTTAACCCTAACTTTATCTCTCCGCAGTCGAGATGGAAGTCTCCCAGAACGTGCACTGCCAAAGCTCTGTGCCTGAGAAACACAAGACTCTAACCTTAACCTTAACCCTAACCATAACCCCAACCCCAATCTTAACTCTCCGCAGTCGAGATGGAAGTCTCCCAGAACGTGCACTGCCAAAGCTCTGTACCTGGGAAATACAACACTTAGTGAACTAAACCTTAACCCCGACCCTAACCTTAACTCTAACCTTAACCTTAACCCTGACTCTAACCCTAACCTTGACCCTGACCCCAACTCTAACCTTAACCCTGACCCTAACCTCAACTCTCCAGAGTAGAGATATAGAAGACTCCCGAAACGTGCACTGTCGAAGCTCTGCATCTGGAAACATGGCAGGGAACGGAAATTAACCTTACTTAACCTTTACCCACGATTCATATTAACACTCCCCCTGATGACCGAACCATAACCAGTTCTTATGTCCTCTCTTTTAACACACACACACACACACACACACACACACACACACACACACACACACACACACACACACACACACACACACACACACACACACAAACACACACACACACACACACACACACAAACAAACACACATACACACACACACAGACACAAACACACACAAAAGAATAATTCTGGTGAACCCCTCTTCAGTGTGTGTAAATGTTTGTACCTATTGTCCACGGCTTGTCCCTGCCCGGTCCGGCCCTACACACGTCCACATACTTCTCCATCAGGGGGTGTTCCCGTGCAGTCTTCTCACCTGGAGAGAGAAACGTTCGTTGGAAAATTTGGAACAGTACAACTGCTAGCCTGATTAGCTCAGCAATCTCAATAGAAAATATCTGAGATAAGGAATTGCCAACTAAATCTTTCCTACAAGATCGTCATGATCTTACAAAGGTTTGGGCAACTTTTACCCACTACAGGGGTCACAGATGCAGAAAGCATTTCCTCCCCAGTACCTGGCGACAAGTTACTCTAAACACAGACTAACCCCCCTCCCATCCCTTGTCTCGGGTACATTGGAAACCCCCAAGTATTGTCATAGTCATGTATTTGGCAGGATCTATCTGGCTTGACATCAGTACCTGGTGACATGTTGTCGAAGTTGAAGTCCCCGCACAGGATATCGAATGCCTGGATGTCGTCGCTGGCGAGCGTCCGGCACCGGAAGTCCTCCGTCCACGTCAACAGCTCGTCTAGCTGCCGCGGGAGGATCTCAAACGGACCTGAAGCAAAGAGGTGGGCAGGGAACGGGTTAGAGGTGGGAACCGGCAGGAAAGTAAAGACAGAGTACCATGATACATGTGCTGGTAGTACATGTAGTGATTACCAAATACAAATACAAAATATTTTAAAGATTATAAATAGATGAAAAATGTTTTTAAAATGTACAATATATTGCATCATGATCTTAGAATGTAGTTAGTAGTAAAACAAAATAAACAAATAAACAAAAATGGTTCTGTAGTGAACAGGTCAGAGTTGGGTACTACCACCAAAGTACAGACGTGCAGAATCCGGAGTACCACCCTACTGGTAGTATTGATTGCCAAATACAGAGGGTCAGCGTAAGTCAGTGATTATGCCTGCTAGAGCTAAGTAGAGTTAAATATCAGTTTTTAGTCTGTCCGCTGCTCTGAGGTAAATAACTTGATGTGGATGATCAATGCTGACAGGATGGAGGTCAGACTACAAGACCATGTTACAGAGAGTATAAGTATATGATTTGGGGCAAAATTTGGAAGATGTCAAAGATTACAGAATTGATATAGAATTGTTGTAGACCGAAGCCATACCTTGGTAGGACTGCATGTGTGTAGTGGTGATGTAACCTACAGCGTCTCGCCCGTCCTGGGTCCTCCCGAGGAACACCTGAAGAGAATGAGAGACAGTGTTCTCATACTAGCATGAAAGTTCATCTGATCTGAGTTGGTAAAATATATGATGAGAATTAAACTCTTCTCCAAGTCAATAAAATTGACTCACCAGGAATTTTTGTTCAAATCACTTGTGGGTGAACTCCGTACCTTGACCTTGGCTGGCTTTGCAAGCATAACTATAACAAGATTAGAATTATACACCAGAAGCACAGTTCCGACCGTACCTTGACCATGAGTGCGCCCTTGGCGGCCCACCTGTCCTGTTTGCGGGCTGCGGAGAAGGGCCGGAACTCGGCGGCGAGGACCGGATAGCGGCTGGCGAACAGCAGCCCGCTGTGAAACGCCCAAATGTTCGTGCTCCAACTCCACCTGCCTGCGGGCAGGAAAAAAATGGTCGTTCATGGCGTCTATGGCGGGAAAAATGGACAGTTGTGATGGAAAACATGGTCTGTCATCAGTCAAACAACTTTATAAGGAGGTTATGTTTTCAGTAGCATTTGTTTGTCTGTGAATAGCATAACTCAAGAAGCTATGGATGGATTGCCGTGAAACTTGGTAGGTGGGTAGATCTTGATGAGACCTAGAAATGACTAGATTTTGGGCCCATGTCGTCTGTTGGGGGAAACAGGGCCAGTCATCAGTCAATCGTTTTTTTTCTATTTTTTGCAATATGTAAAAGATATCAGTGAGACTGTTTTACCTGGATCATAGATGATGTGGCGGAAATGCAAACATAGGTCGGCATGCAACCAGCCTTTGCGTGGCATCTGTGATGGGTTTTGCTGAGTTTGCCAGTAGATCAAAGGACTTTGGGCACTTGCACAGAGTTTCTTTGTCTTTGTGCTGACAGAATGACAGGAAGTAAGATACGCATGACTCTTACCTGGCTCGTAGATGACGTGGCCGAAATGCTGGCGTAGCCCGGCAACCAGCCTTCGCGTGGCGTCCTGGTCGAACACTTCCTGGCAGCAGAGGAAGTCCAGCGCCGGGAACTGCGACTCCACCTCGTGTGAGAACTGATCCTCTCCGACGGGATCGGGCGCGGCCGACGGTAAGGCGCCCCGGGACGGAACGGGGCTGTCCGGCGGTGGGAAGGCATTCTGGGGTGCGGGTCGCACGCTTTTTCGGGACCGGAGGTTGTAGGGAGTCTCCCCGTGCAGGGGGCCGTTCGGCTGGCCATTCTGGGTGGGGGGAGGGGCAAGGTTCCCCCGTCCCTTGGAGGGGGTGTAGCCGGGGGGAGGGGCGAGGTTCCCCCCCTGCCCCTGGGATGAGACAATCCGTGATGCGATCTCCCCCGCTCGCCAGTAGCCATCGCTCAGGTTGTTGAACCTGCAGGGGTGGGTGATAGTTCACTCTTAGTCTTTTAAGGCCGATTTCTACAATTTATTCAGCCTACAAAAGAGTTAACTTTGTGTGAACTAAGTTCACTTAGTAACAGGAGTATCGATCATATCCAGAACTGCGCCTGGGTAGTTCTATGCCTGAATGGGTTAGGGTTAAGATCAGCCACGGTTCTGGATAGTTTCTATCATATACAGAACCGTGCCTATCTATGCTGAATGGTTTAGAATTAGGATCAAGCACGGTTCTGGATAATCTCCACGTATCCAAGAACAATTAAGTTTGCTCCAGGCATGATCCAGGTTTGCTTCCATATACACATGAACTATCCATAACGGTGCCAGCTCTGGATAAAGACTTACAGTTCTGGATACAACAAAGAGAGAAGGTACATGTATAAGCTTGTACCGAAGGAAGAACGCCAGACTTGCCACATTGTACAAGATAACCAACAATGTTATTTCTGTGCCGCACGCATCTAGAGTTGTCCCGGCGACTCGATGCTCCCGCCGCACCAACCACGCTCTCAAGCTGCAGACCATCGCGAGTAGGAACAACTTTTACAGGCTCTCGTTCTTCCCTCGTACCATCAAAGAGTGGAACGAACTTGAGCCTGGTGTGGCGGAGGCGGGGTCCCTCGCCCAGTTCAAATCTGGACTGGCGAGGACCCTGCTGCATTGAGTCGCCCCTACACGTCTTGTATATATGTATATATATATGTCCTACTAACACACTAAATGCACTGTCTTGTCCTTTACACCAACAGACTCAGTTATTTACGTTCCGTAGTGTCCCCTCCTTTAGTTGCCCTTGTTTTTACTTGTACCGGTCACTTGTTTTGTAATTAACAACATGTGCAGCTGCTAGTAATCCAATGTCAATATTGGGCTCAGCAGTACTTAAGATGATGATGATGAAGCTTGTAAGGAGAAGGGTCAGAGGTTAGCGATGAAGATGGAGAGGTCGTTACCATGGTGATGCAGGTCACCTGTCTCACCTGGCGCAGGCGTCCGGCAGCAGACACAGGTTGGTGGTGCAGAGGGAGAACTTCGGTTTGAGACCCACCTCCTCCGGGCTGGGAACATCCGGGGAACTGCAGTACACAAACGGGCTCCTGCGGCGGGGAATGTGATAGTAAACATTTGTTTGGCCTGGGTTTGAAAGCTACATAAGACATAATGAAGAATTAGTTTTTATGTGTTGTACATGTTGTAATTGTCGTGAATCTGTATGTTTTGTTTGTACCTACGTTGTATCTTTATGTACTATGTAACTGTAAGGTCAGCACAATTCAGCGGTCCATAATTTTTTATGTACTGCTGCTATGCTGACCACTGTTTTGAATAAAGAATAAAGAAAAGAATAAAGAAGACAATTAGTCTTGAAATCTATAACAGAGTGAATATTGATATCATTTTGTTTGGAAAATTAAATGAACTAGTTAAATGAACTAGTTGCATGTGACGTCATTATCAACTGTACATGCATATTACAAGTTCACATTTACCTGGCAACTCCCTAGACGTTAAGCCATCCAACATGGTGGACAACTCAGCATTGTCACATGAGTGCAAACACCCTCAGGGTGCAGCTCGTCAGCAGTATGTACTAGTATCTGGCCTGCGCAAAACCCTGATTTTTCACAGTTTTTGTCAGATGTTTGGTCAACATTCCATCAGAATTTTGCCTTTTACAGACATCTTTTCTGACACAAGCTAAGGAAACTACAGACAGGATGTTAATATATACGCGAATACAACCTTATATGAGACATTCTGCCAAAGTGCTATGCACAATACATTACAGGTTTCGCGCAGGCGCAGTACGTTCTGCCGACATGCTAAGAGAACCTACCTGAAGGGTGAGGTCAGCATCCGGAGAGTCCATCCCAGGACGGTGAGGGGGAGGGTCAGGATCATGAGGAAAGCGAAGACCGGGCTGACGAACACCGTCTGGGCGATGAACCAGTGTTGCCATGGAAACTCGGACGACAGGAGGCGGAAGCCGCACATGAGGCGGCCGAAGCTGCGGTAACCCGGCAACAGCAGCCAGGAGGAGAGGAGATGGAGGAGGATGAGGGGCAGGGAGGAGAAGGGGGCCGTGTGCAAAACGGAGTGTGCCGTGTGCAGATCGGAGCGTGCCGTGTGCAGCTGCATGATGTGAGTCTTTTAAGGGATGGAAACAGGTGGGTCCAAACCTGGGAACAAGAATACTATTAGATGAATTGTTCAGCCAGTATATGTTACATGGGGATATGGAAATAGCTCAGGTTAAACATCTGCTGGTGATCATCCACAACATTGACAGAATTCATGACCTATTCCTCTTTTTGCCAAGCTGATTTCTACTAGTGTGGATAGGGCATTACCGAATGCGCACAAATGTATTACCAACTTGCCCCATTGCATATCTGGTCAACTCAGCCCACCGTCCTGGTCGACTGTTTTTTTTTTAAAATCAGGTGAAAATTTATGGTATGCCTACGCTGATGTTATCCATAAAAATTACTTGCTGTGGCCTAAGGCTTCATGAGCATAATCTCCTACGCTAACCACTAGAAATTAACCAAACCCCACAAAAACATGTGCACATGAAAACACCCATCCTAACATCTGCTTGGTGCCCACATAAATGTTTTCGAACCAAAGCGGCAGAAACTGGGGCAAAGTGCACATTTCAAAATATGACTTTTGGCAGTCATTTCAGTGACCTACAGCACACTGACCCCAGTCCTGGCACACACATACAGACAGTATCAATCAATAGTTCGTACTTATAAACCTGCTTTTCTGACAATTCTCCAGTGTTGCTGACAAATTGTAGTGGATGCTACCTGAAACGTCTGACCGTTTCCAAAATCATAGCCAGTTGCTTGAGTAACTGTTTTTTGGTGTACCTTATTACCTGTATGTCTACTATTACCTTTGAACACCGACGTATCCAGACAGTACCCACAAGTTGTGGATGACAGCTCAATGCGTCACCTGTCGGCAGACAGGTGTGCATACAGGTGTGCAGATGACAGGTGTCAGTTGTAAGTTGTAACCAGTGCCTCCAGTACTCCCCCTGCAGGTGCCAAGGCAACCTTGCTAAGGGCAGGAAGGGTCAAAGGATCAAAGCTCAACTGATCGCAGGTGAGATTACCGACTAGTGGTGTACACACTTTGGGCTCTATGCAGCTGAGTAGTTTGGGCCAGTGGAATACTATTTTGTGCATGACATCTATGCGCACATTTTCTTGTCCCATGACATGTCGGGCCATAAATTCATATTTTTATTGATTCAGCCAAGAAACCACATATCTTCTACGTATACAGTGCTTTCTTTCATGTATTTCTGGGTCAGTGTGCCATTGACTTGGAAATATTTTAATATCAGGTGAATGTCAGAATAGCTGATGCAATTATGCCATGCAATTTATAGTGGAGTGAATGGTTTGGGTTTTGACAATATCATGCAAATCCTAGGTTTATGCCGATGTCAGTGCTGGAAATAGTTGGAGAGCACTGTATACCACTTTGATGATGTTCAATGACATGGATTGATGGAGCTATGTAATTTGAGTATTGAGCATAACGTTACTCACGGTCGCTAGGTCCGCGGGTCCTGGGTGCGGCCTGGGCGGCGGCAGGGGCGCAGCGGCCCGGCGGCGGCTGGCATCGGGGCGGCGGAGTCAGGTATTCCCGGGCAAAGCGGTAAAATATTAGCGCCGAACTGTGTACATACAAGCCCGGGTCAACATCCGTACATACTCACCCTGCCAACGTCTATCAGCTGGTGGACGGAACCATTCACTCGCCTACTAAGGGGTGTCAGGGTAACTAGTGCAGTAAAATGCGTAAACAGGGGGCAGAAAAATGTTTAAAGTATTCATTTGGTTTTCCTTTTGAGTATTAAATTATGAACTAGAGATTATGAAGATGTTTTTTTCTGCACAAAAAGACATATTAATAAAGGGCTAAATTTATAACGGGCTGGAGTTCCCGCCATATTTGGACTCTTCCAGTCCTGAAAGTCAGCTGGCGGGACACAAGACTTCTGGAGTAGGTAGGCGTATTTTGTGCCTTCTAAGAAGGAAATCCTAAAACTACCCACGAATTCTACAATTTGTCTGTTCCTATATAAAAAAATTTCTTTCGTTTGACAGTAACAATATCACATACAATCTGCATCTACATCAATCGATAGTTTCTACAAATTTCCGACGTCACCCCCATTTTGCAGAATGGTATGTTCAGGCCCAGTGGCATAGTGGAACAAACCATTCAGATTCAGGGATCCCAATCTACCCAAGCAATCTATATAAAAAGAAGTATTTTAAGAATATATACAAAACATATAAACCCAAGTAGATTGGAAAATAAAACAAATATTGCTAAAGTCATAATGGTTCATTCATTTTGATTTTCACAGGTTGATATCTATATATATATAAAAAGAAAACAAAAGCTAAACATAAATCAAAATGGTAGAACCCACTTATTGTTCATGACAGTCACAAGATCTGAAGGTGTCTGCCTCCTAAAATACCTGGCAGAGGCTAACATTGGTGCCATAGACGCCATCTACAGCATCTAAATCTCGGCATCAGACCAGGTGGGTGTGAACGGGAGAGAGTTATGTTGTACCTAGCTTATATAAGCGGTTATGTTGTCAAAACTTTTGGGTATTTTTGCCACCTTAACAAGTGCCCCCTTTATATAATAAGTACAAGTACATACCCCCCTCCCCCATCGAAGAAGTTAGAAGCAAGCAGCTGCTTGTTGATTCAATTTCTGTCTGTTCCTGATTGTTGTAAGATCTCCTGAGTGTCAGTTCCAAAGTGCAGTGACTATTGTGGTTGTGAATAACGTCATAATTTTGTGGGCTGCAGGGACACTAGAAACATGACAAGAAAACTTGTTGCTGGACAAAAGAACAGATAAAAGAAAACATTTTACCGTTTATGGAGGTTTATTGAGCAAAAGCTCTCCTTTAGCTGCCCACCCGAGGGTGGCAGCTATAAAAATTTCTTCCAGGAGAGGGTACATAAGACATAACAATACATCACGTACAATTACATACTAGTATACATTTACATTACATAGTATTTGTAGCTTTGTAGTCAATAATTTTCTAAGGTTGGGGTCAGACATGGAATGTGGACTTGTGTTTTCAGGGAAGGAACCTGTCATGGCAGATGGAGGAAGAGGCCCCCCCAGACCCCCACCC